TTAAATACATTTTCCTTAAAGTATATATTTTTTAGATTACTAATGTTACTGTCCCCACTACAAACAATTCTAATACTTAAATACATGTAATTATGTCGTTGAAACATACTAGAATTCCATTCATTCCTATGGTGGACTGCTCCTACTGGGGAGTGCCAATATGGCCGACCGGTGGCTTCAAAGCCTCACAATGGCCAATACATAACATCAGAAATCCAGGGGTTATATGCACCATTGGTCGCAACATGGGCAACAGAGTTTCCCGGCCTCTTGTAATTCCAATTTGGAGGGTTGTTTAAGTCGAACTAGGAATTTCCGATAACTACAATAGCACGTGAACGCAGCATTATGGTCTCTCCCATTAATGTCCAGCCTACTTCCTGGATCATGTCCCATACTGTTTTTGAATGGGATTCAAGATTATATTATCAAATTCATGAAAACGTGGTCATTTAAAATATTGTGGATTAATTTACTTTTACCGGATGCTTTTCATGAACATTTTTTACTGCATTTTGTTTTTCGTAATCGAAAACCTTTATAAAAGGCATTGGGTAAAAGTAAATTAATCTACAAATACAAATATAATTTCACATATATCTTAAATGACCACGTTTTCACAAATTTTATGATATAATCTTGAATCCCATTCAAAAACAGTATGGGACATGATCCAGGAAGTAGGAGGGACTTTCATATAGCCTTGCTACACCAGCATCTCCTCATGTCTTTTTCTACAGATATTTTCAAAAACGTAAAACTTTACAGCAGTCACCATGGATAAAATATTTATAAAACCTGGGAACAGAAGTTTGGTCCCAAAAAGATGTGGGGTTACATCTTATTTGCCTCCAATGGATTTCATGTGGTGGTTTTCCCCAGTAACAAGATACACATTGTAATTTAAGGTTTGTAGGCCCATCTAGTGAGAGTTACAGCCAGAGATCAGCCATGTTCAGCAATGTCATGTGTAATATTGTAACTGCATGACTACAGTTTGGAACACATGATCAATGTATATAAAAATATAGAAAATATATTCATAAATGCAATTCAATATAGAAAATACAGTATATTATTGAAAATAACACAGCATGATGGGTCCAAGAGACATACATGATGGCCGTTATTTTCACTAGCTATGTGTGGATATACTGATTGATAACTGGTTGCTAATGGATATTTGTACCTGATGCAAATGTCTCAAAAATAATAAATGTTTTAAAAGCCTTGTTTACACCTTGCGGTAACATGTGAGTTTTGTGATCTGATCAATATGACCCAATCACTATCTGATCAAGGTTTGTCACGTCTACACATGGTATTAAGAAATGTGTCTTATCCATCCACTCCGTCTGTGTTTACACAGGAAGCCTTATTCTGATCCTTTGCACAATTATTGGGGGAGAAAGCGTTAGGCTGCCTGTGTAAACACAGCCTACTTGTGTCTGCATTGTGGCCAGATTAGCTGGTGCCTCCCTGTGTGCAAATTGTTTGACAGATATTGGGTGCGTTTGAGTGATAAGTCTAAAGCAACCGACTGCAGTCGAGGAGTGAAGTCGGGGGAGGTGCATCAGCAACCAATGATGTATATAAACCCTGGATTGCTGATGCTATGTATTGGCCATTGAGAGGCTTTGAAGCCACCGGTCGGCCATATTGGCACTCCCCTGTAGAAGCACTCCTCCATAGGAATAAATGGAATTCTACAGTATTCCAATTAAATGTTTCAAGGACATAATTACATGTATTTAAGTATGTATGTTGTTGTAGTGGGGACAGTAACATTAGCAATCTCTAAAAATTATACTTTAAGAAAAATGTTTTTATATATATATATACACACACTACTGGTCAAAGGTTTTAGAACACCTACTCATTCAAGGGTTTTTCTTTCTTTCTTTTTTACTATTTTCAAATTTTGTAGAATAATAGTGAAGACATCAAAACTATAAAATAACACATATGGAATCATGTAGTAACCAAAAAAGTGTTAAACAAATCAAAATATATTTTATATGTGAGATTCTTCAAATAGCCACCCTTTGCTTTGATGACATCTTTGCACACTCTTGGTATTCATAGTTTTGATGTTTTCACTATTATTCTACAATGTAGAAAAAAGTGCAAATAAAGAAAAAACGTTAAATTAGTAGGTGTTCTAAAACTTTTGATCGGTAGTGTGTGTATATATATCATTTGTTTTATCTTTAGCTCACATAATTTAATTTAAAAGTATGCATTAAGGGGTCTGTAATAGAATAAGTGTGGCAAATGTAGACATTAATAAATGCATTTCTATAGCTTCCAAAATATTTTTTTGCAACGATGGGGAAGTCCCAAGATGGCGGCAGGGTGGCTTCAACACCCCCAAAATAGTAATCTAGTGTATTTATAAATCATTGATCTGCGACAGCTGAAAGTCAGACACTAATGTAGTTTTGCAACTGCAAGGCTCAGATCAACATGGCAGTGTTGCCATTGGCTGTGTTCGAGAGCATCAAATCCAAGATGCATTGTGGGTAAATGGTGACTGACTGACCGACAAATAATGAGTAGTTATTTATGATGCAAGGTGATTTGTAGAGCAGTCAGTCGCCTGCACTTTCGAACCATTTATTTGAACCAGCTCATTGTTTATAAAAGGGTTTCTTTATAATGTCGAAATAAACATGCATCTAACCCCCATGTCACACACTCACAAACTGAAGTTAATATAATATGTGTGTACACATTGTACAATCAATTAGTGAGAGCGTGTCAAATATCACATTTGTATGTATATTTCCACTGTACAAATAAGTCAAGACAAATTGGTTCCTTTTTCAGTCACGTCTTTGGTCACGTTCGCTTGGGTCAAACAAAAACACCTTAATGATTGGTTGACAACAGAGCCTCCCACCGTGCAGGCGATGGCTCCAGGATTAAGTTGTTGAAGAGCAACTGCAGAAACTTGCAGTCAAAATTCATGACCTTTGATCACATGATTTTTGTAATGTTCATGCAGTCGACATGTAGGCACAAAAGTCTGAGAACTTTTATCCCCAGAATGCAACGCACTTTGAAAGGCGTTGAAAAAAGGTGATCCACTCGAACGCACCCTGCAGTCAGGCTAATGTAGCCTGCTGTAGATGAACGTTGATGAGTCGTGAAGTCGGGGGAGGTGAATCTGCTACAGCCGAAAGTAGGACCCTGTTGTGGTTTAGCTACAGCAAGGCTCCATTGTTTATAAAACTTTCTATGGAATGTCAAAATAAACATGTAAATATGTGTACACTGTACTATCAATTGGTGAGAGAGAGCGTCAATATCACATTCATTTGTACATTTCCACTGTATACATTTGAATCGCAGCGAAGTTTCAACCAGGTCTTTGGTCCGTTCACTTGTCAGAAGCAACTGCAGGGACTTGAAGGCGATTTTATGGTTTTCACATTGTTTTTGTAAAGTTTATGTAGTGGACATGTAGGCGCAAATCACCTGTTAGTGAGCATTTCTCATTTGCCAAGATAATCCACCCACTTGACAGGTGTGGCATATCAAGAAGCTGTTTAAACAGCATGATCATTACACAACACAATGCCACATTTTGTCTCAAGTTTTTAGGGAGCGTGTAATTGGCATGCTGACTGCAGGAATGTCCATCAGAGCTGTTGTCAGAGCATTTAATGTTAATTTCGCTACCATAAGCCGCCTCCAACGTTGTTTTAGAGTTTTGGCAGTATGTCCAACCGGCCTCACAGCGGCGGACCACGTGTAACCACGCCAACCCAAGACCTCCACATCCGGCTTCTTCACCTGCAGGATCGTCTGAGACCAGCCACCTGGAAAGCAGATGAAATTGTGGGTTTACACAACTGAAGAATTTCTGCAAACTGTTAAAAACCGTCTCAGGGAAGCTTATCTGCATGCTCGCCGTCCTCACCGGGGTCTTGAACAGACTTCAGTGGACAAATGCTCACCTTCGATGGCCACTGGCACGTTGGAGAAGTGTGTTCTTCACGGTTGAATCTTGGTTTCAACTGTACCAGGCAGATGGCAGACAGCATGTATGGCTTCGTGTGGGCGAGCGGTTTGCTGATGTCAACGTTGTGAACAGTATCCCATGATGACAGTGGGGCTATGGTATGGGCAGGCAAAAGCTACGGACAATGAACACAATGGCAATTTCAATGCACAGAGATCCCGTGATGAGATCCTGAAGCCCATTGTATTAACATTTATCCGCCGCCATCACCTCAAGTTTTAGCATGGTAATGCACAGCCCCACGTCACAAGTACCTGTACACAATTCCTGGAAGCTGAAAATGTCCCAGTTCTTCCTTGGCCTGCATATTCACCGGACATGTCACCCATTGAGCATGTTTGGGATGCTCTGGATCAATGCGTACAACAGCGTGTTCCAATTCCCGCCAATATCCAGCAACTTCGCACAGCCATTGAGGAGTTGAACAACATTCCACAGGCCACAATCAACAGCCTGATCAACTCCATGCGAAGGAGATGTGTCGCGCTGGATGAGGCAAATGGTGGTCACACCAGATACTGACTGGTTTTCTGATCCACGCCCCTACTTAAAAAAAAAAAGGTATCTTTGACCAACAGATGCATAGCTGTATTCATAGTCCATAGATTAGGGCCTAATTAATTTTAATTGACTGATTTTCTTACGTTAACTTTTGAAATTGTTGCATATTGCATTTATATTTTCATTCAGTGTACAAATCACCTTACATCATAAATAACTCATTATTTGTAGATCAGTCAGTCACAATTTAACCATGATACATTACGGTTTTGATGCTCTAGAACACAGCCAGTGACTTTAGAGGTCAGTATAATGATGATTCAAATAGTTTGACCATCCAGATCTGTTTACACTTGATTGATAGACACCAGACGTACCTGACTACCTCCGGAGGTGGTCAGGAAGATCTGATCACAATCAGATCACAATGTGTCTAATCGTCTACCCCTGTCAAAAAATTTGACCACAATCAAGAATGTTGACAAGATTAGGACAAAGGGTGGATGTTAGCACCAGGTATAAACAGGGCTAGAGCCAGTTCAACAGAGGATCCCCAGGATCAAGCAAAAAAAAAGGACTGTATACAAACACGACAAGGACCTTTCAGCATTTCAAATGAAATAAACATGTGAAAGAAAACAGTACAGGACTTCAATAACATGTTAATTTTCTGCCATGACAAACATTTTGTATTGTTTTTATACACATTTCCATTCATTGTCAATCAATGTGGTTTGTTTTCTAATCTAGACCATTTCAGGAGATCAGTGCGCAAAAGGTGAGGCCATTTACTTTGCACCAAGGCTCCCTAAGCCAAATAACACTGAGCCAATGAGACAGACAAAAGCAGCATTTGATTTCAAGGCATGAGAATGAACTAGAAAGGACAAACCTAGTAATCTCCATATCGACTTCAGTTAAGACAAAATATGGCATGAATTTCTTTCGGCACAAGTCAATGGATACTTAGGCCGTACCTAGCCACTGCATTATTCTGGGGAACGAGGGCCAACATGAAGAAATTCACCTGAATTGCAGCGCATTCCAAAGTAGCTCATCAAGACATTTACTTGATGGATCTATCAGAACTACTGCAATTTTGAAGAACTACTATACATTTCTAATAGAAAAAGTCTGAGAGGATCATTTACCAAACTACTTTTTTGATTGGGTGGAATCAATATGGAACCAGTGTATGGACACCAGGGATGCAAGGCCAGTATAATTCATCGCTGTGTTGTTATACATCACACATATTTTCTATATCCAGCATGGTTTTTGGGTAAGCCAAGGTTTGTGCATTAAAAATGGTACAAAAATCTACCTCCCCTCCCCCATGTGCTGTCAGTGCTCCCAGAAGGCAATGCAACAAGACAGTGGACAAAGGACAGCGTTGAACGTCTTGAGACCAGATGAAGTGTGCTTTCTTGGTTCCACACACACACACACACAGGACAGGCAGTCTTGAGGGCATGCTACCAGTCAGTTTGACCAGCAGACAAGTCAGGCGGCCACTACGGTGCATCATGCTGAGGAGGGTCATGTCAGGCCTCTCTGATCTTGGCAGCCAGAGCAGAGTTCTCCTGGCGAATGGCTTTGTAGTCCTCCAGGATCTTCTCCAGGTTGCTTACAGTCTTCTTACCATTCTCAGTTTCAATCTATGGAGAGAAGGAAACTTACAAAGTTTGCTCTACCAAGTCAGCCCTATATCACTATGTAAATAAAATGACAAACTGACTCTCATGTTGTACAGAAGCAGTGCAAGTTAGTGGTTTGGAATAAAATAAGGGGGCCATATATACCTGTTCCTCCAGGTCTCGGATCTCTCTCATGATTGTGCCCGTGTCCTCAATAGTTTGGATCAACTGAGTGCAGTTCTATACCAAGGAAGATAATCAAGTCACACAACTAACCAATGTAGCTATAGGCACCTAAAATGACCAAAGAGCACCAGACCCAAGGATATACAGTATGTATTGCTCTTCAGTTTCTAAGAGAAGGTTATATTCTGCCAACAAGCTCTTACCTCATGTAAGGCTGCCAGGTACTTGTAGGATTTGCGGACAGATTCGTCTTTCTTCGCATCCTGCACAGTATTAGGAAAAGTATTGATTAGGCAAGAAGGAACATCATTGGTATGCTTTCCTGGAATTTACAAACTGTGGTATAGAATAATTGGAATGAAAGGCATGAGCAAACTGATAGCATGGGTCCTTGGTAGCAAGTTGAGCATTTTCAGGTGATCTAGAAGGGATTTCTTTGACCTATAATTCCAAACAGTAGACGCATGAGTTCTCTTGCTAGGTGCTCTACCTTGAAAACCAGCTCATCAGTCACAGCGAACGTTCGGTCCAGTTTCCCAGTCAGGCTGTTAATCTCTTTCTGCAGCTCCTTAGTGTCAGACAGAATCTACAGAGACCGAGAGTCGGACACACAAATACCATACTTGAAATCACTCTACTCAGAATCAAATTGAGTTTTAATTCCTTTGTTTTTGAGGAGATACTCAGGACTGTATTGTTGAGAGGTGTCCCAAACGGTGTACCTTTGTAATTTCTTCCTTCTGTTTCCTGATGTTGCCAACGATCTCCAGGATCCTCGCAGTGTACGCTGAGCGGGAGACATCTTTTGGGAGATTCTCAAACTCTGTTATCTGAAGGAGAAGTCATATTCCCAAAAAATTGTGTCAGACATACAATGCATGGACCGGAACCAAATGAATACACAGTGTGGAAGTAAATCATCCCAAATACATTTCATTTCTTCTAATACCAGTTGTTTATACAGTCCTTCCTTCTTCTTGGACTCCTCCGCAGATTGACGGATTTTGTTGTGAAGCTCTTTGATTTCAGATAGCTTTCTGGAGGACTCAATCTACAAAAAATAATGGAAGTTAAAATAAGAATTTCTCTCTCACACAGTCAAACACACACACACACATGGGTGATATCCAAGGAGATTAATGCTACCTCTTGGTTGCTGCAGAGCTCCTTGAGCCTGCGGTGCTCATCGATGAGCGGAGCTCTGCGTTTCTCCCACTGGGTGGCAAGGTTGACCACTCGCTTGGCACTTCCCTCCACCAGGGCCTGCAGCTTGGCCAGGTTGTTCTCTACGTCAGGCATCAGGTCAATGGTCTGCTTCTTCACCCGCACAGAGTCCTCCTTCTCCGCGTTGCTCAGCTCTTTTTGCTTCAGCTCATCTGACACCTGCACACAGACAAGATACAAGTTAGTCTCGCAGGGTGACTACATCTTATATGTCATAGTTCATTTGACTGTGGTAACTCTGGTCGAAGATAGGGATAGGTAATCATTTCACTATTCTAATAGTATCATGAATTTTTGTTGGATATCCGAAATACATGCGTTTTTCTTTTTACTTAAGTTTTTAACCTGAGCACTGCTGCGTGAAGGAGAGAAGCTGGCGTTCTATTGCTGCAGCTGCGGAGGGGGTGGAGTGTGTGAGATGGGAGGGAGCAGACGGAGGGAGAGAGACTCCAAGGCAACTCAGCTACAGCCATGACTAGCTAACTTGTAGCAGCCACAATGTTATTTATCGTCGCATATAACAGTGCCTGTCTTGACTGGAAAAGCCTAGAGAAGCTAGCTAGCTAGCTAGATAAAACAACAGCCTACCTGTTGGTTGCTCGTTGTTGTCTACTCCTCATTTCGCTAACTTTTCATTCCATAATTTTATTCCATCTTGCATTGCATTAGTGAACTCACTCCACTTTCTACCTCTTTGCCATTTTGATTGGCCAACATAAACAACAAGCTACACGTGAAGGCTTTTATGGGGTGCACTGTGCACATCATAAACTACATTGAAAAGTTGGTTGTTTTATTTAAAACCATTTTTTTTTTTTTATGTTATGGTATATCCTTTTATGTAACAATGCCATATTAATATTTTAATTAAAGTTAGAAAAAGCCTTTTCAGTGTTAAAATAGGGCTATAATAAATCCCCCCCCCCCCCCCCCCCCCCGCAAAAATGAAAACACACAGTTAATCGAAAATACAAATTTCTGTTCGGATATTCGAATAACCACGCACATCCCTAGTCTGAGGTCTACACAAATACAGAGTTTATCTGTTTGAAATAAGAGAGGCTCCAGTTACCTGAAGTATGGATACGGTGAGCTGCCTCATGTCTCCGCCCACCTCCTCTAGGCTGAGGGAGAGCTGCTGGAGCTGCTGCTGCAGGGAGGCCAGCTCCTCCTGCTGTCGGGCCTGCAGGTCCTCCTCCGACTGATGCGAGCTGGGGCGGGAGCTGGCCGCTGCTGCCATCTGCTGGGAGGCTTTCGCAGGCTCCTGACACACACACACACACAGACCGGTTAGAGAAACATAAAGGCTAGATTCCGATTGTCAATAAAAGGGGGAACATTTGTAGATGTTGCTCAATGTCTTTGGGGCAGGCTTTGTTCAACCCTTCATTCACCTGTGTGAAAGTGAATTTCTCAGTGTGAGTGAAGCGGGTGCCCTTGGCGAGGATGTCACCACCGAGGGTGGAGCCCCCGAAGGACTGCAGAAGCTCTGTGAGATCAGAGCCCGACCTGTGGGCACAGAGTATGTCCGGGCGAGGCTGGGCCGCAGCGCGCAGCTGCTCTTCGATACGCTTATGCAGACGGGCGCGCTTCCTGGAGCGATATTCCTGGGTGGCCACGAGAGGAGACAGAGTGGAGTTCAGAGATTAAAACAATGCAATTAACAAATAAATATTATTATTGTGCTCAAATTCAAATTGACCAAAAACTTGAAAAACTATCCCTTTAAGTGAACTATCCCTTTAAGAGTGTACCTCGGGGGTGAGGCGGGAGAGGAGGCCTTGGCTGTTCCACTCATTTTCCCACTCCTGGGCGGCACTAAGCTCCTCTGCATGCAGCTCCAGCAGGGAGGCCGGCACTGAGGCATGCTGCGACGGCTGGGCAGTCACAGGGGGAAGAAAGTCCCTGTGGTAGTCCTTTTCCTCTGGAGAGGGGGTGAAAAGAATGACGTGGTATACTGGGATTGAACTGTTACCACAGGCTCTTATTTCAGTGGCAAAGAAGATCTTGTACCATGCCTAATGTAACACATGCTAATGTATATAGGCTACTCATTCAGAACCCTACACAATTGGAAGAATTGGATTGCAGAATGACATGCAATGACAGTCAGTACAGAGGGTCCTGTGTATTCTGGGGTTTACCTTTCAATTGCTTTTTCCCAGGCACTTTGAGGCAGTGCGGTAAACTAAGGGTCTGAGAGTGGAAACTGTGGGACGGTCCTGGGTTCTAAAAAGAATAAAAATGTGAAGTGAGAACACATACAATAAGTGGGAACACTTGACACAAAGACAGAGATTCAAACAGGAAGTTTGTATAGTGCATCATTCTGGTATATTGAGTTAGTAAATATCCAGGAGGTCATGAAAAACAGGATAAACTTGATAGGGGCATTGCATTATTGTCTCACTACTTTCACTGATCAGCCCTGAAATCTAGCTTCCTTTATAGTCTAGGAAACCAACAGTTATTTGTCAGTGTTTCTTAACTTTAGCTGCCATGTCATTGATAATGCTTTGTGATATAGCCAGCAGGACATACCTGTGTTTTACAGAGGAGGGGTAGTCTGCAGGATGGAGGGAGCCAGGGCAAGGCCAGCTGAGCTTTGATCTGGGCAGCTATCAATTTCTGGAGGAGGACCGATTTACCTGTTAAGGGGTACAATGAATGCGAGACAAATAAATACTTATAGATAATATAATTCTCATTTTGAGAGGTTCACAAACATTCAATGTATTTTTATTGATCAGATTATAAAGCAAAAAAAAATAGTCCAATGTATAAGGGGAGAGCTAAAGTTAAGGTATGAAGGGTATTCAATAATGACAAGAAGTACAATGGTGGGACATGGAGTCTGTACCTGCTGGTTGGTCCAAGGCCTCAGCACTTTCTCTGGGCAGCTTCTCCACCAGGAACATGAGCAGGGAGCGGATCTCTGGCTCATTGCTGTAAAGAAAGGTCTGGTAGCCAATCTCTCCCTTGTAGCCAAGGTCCTGCATAGAAACGCATGTCAACCTGGTTATGGAGTCTACTCATACACAGGTCATTGACCTTTGCGTCACATGCCTCACCCAATCTAGAGCATGAGGGTCATTAAGCGTGAAAATGGAACCAGTCCATGACATTGTATGAAGACCATCTATGAACATGTGGAATGATGGAGCCTACTTCACAAAATCAGCAAATCAAATGTATTCACACTTGGGAGATTCTAAATCTTGTAATAAAATTCAATTTCAGAAGATCACTTCAATGAAGTTATGCAAGCAAATGGGCTATTCAATAAAGAAAATCGAGTGAGGAAATAAAAATAGTTCAAAGCAGTGGTCAATGAGATGGAATGGCATTAGGATATGACATGACTTCACATTGTAGCAGGCGGTCAAATTGGTTGCTGAATGACTTCTACTCAGACATTAGTGGTCCAGACTGCATGCATGTAGTTGGGACCATGAATAACTGAGCTTGCATGTAGTTGGGACCATGAATAACTGAGCTTGAGCTAATGACAGTAAATTCATTTTAGAGTATAAAAAGACCTTGGACTGAGTATCATGCAAAGGGGTTATAGGTCATATGGGTACATCAAGAAGTCATGCATGGTTATTATTTTAGATGCAACAATATCTTAATCTTCCTCATTTGATCAACATTGTCTTGGGGTGAGAGTGTCCCGAGCCCCACTTCGAAACAGGAGGGGGAGCACTATCCCTTTTCTTTTTGACCTCTCACCTGACAGGCTTGTGCCAGGCTCATGCCTACTCGGAAGCGGGCAGACATGCTGAGGGGTAAGGAGGGGGACAGGCCGCTCCCCAGGGCCGGGTCGATCACTCGCAGACATTTCACTACCGCCTCCACTATGAGCTCACTGGAGAAGCGCTTCACACTCTGCACATCCTCCCCCACGTCCCTTTGCAAACACACAGAGCATGAGGTGCAGGTGCACGGAGTTAACTTCCCATTTGTGTCACACACACACACTTCTCAATAGTCATGTGATGAGCCGGTTAACGTTACTCTTTCAAATGACATTCAAAAATGTGTAGTGTAGCTAACTTGACCGATATGGAAGAATTCTGGTCTAAACACTAGCTCAAAGATTTTCAGATTGGCAGAGTGAAACTCAAAACAACCAGCTGTTAGAACAAAATTGTACAAGTGTGAATGAATCTAGCTAACTTAGCTAGCTCTCTACACTTCAGCAAATGTTCACAAGGAAAATATCAGCTGAGATATTGGCTCTGATGAGTAACGTCATTGAATGTAGCTAAATCAATGAAGAGAGACACAAATAAGCTACAGGAGCAAGCAAGCTGGCAAACGTTAGCTAACTAGCAACAACAGGTTCTTGATAATGTTGGCTAACTACTTACGTGCCGGTCTGTCTAAGCGAGTGAATTAAAATCTTATCAACTTCCTCCATCACTGTAAGAAGATGAAGTGCCTTGCAATTCCTTTAGCAAAAAGCCTCCCCTAAATTACAATCATTAGGCTTCAATAGGCTTCTTTTGGCTAGCTAGCTAGCAGTTTCACAGGCTTGTCCATTCGAAAAAAAGCTAGCTAGCCTGTTTTTAGCTGGCGAACTAGCTAACGTTGTCACTTCTCAACGCATGAACAAGAGGCACTACAGATGCCATTCCAGTAACCGTTCCATTTTAATACTTTTTTGTGTTCCCCTAAATGTCTTGTAAAATGCTTTTCATCGTATGAGAGCTAGCTAACAATTTCGTGAAACCTAAAATGTTGCATCTCTAAATGCATTAAGTCATATGGGAGGAGTATACGGTAGCAGTGTTCTATGGGATGCTGAGTTTCAACATCCTTCAGCAGTGTTGTGAAAACACTGGAGAGTACGGCAAGTAAAACTCTGATTCCCAGCAAGCCATCGCTGCCAAAGTCGCATGACTGGGTACTGTGTCAGAGAGGAAGAGGCGAAGCGAAATGATTTATGCCGCGTTCAAGTACTAGTCAGAACTAGGAAACTCGGAAATGTCCGACTTGCTAACTGGTTGAACGCGGCACGGTATAACTACAACCATTTAGCAAGTCGGACATTTCCGAGTTTCCTAGTTCCAACTAGCATATGAACGCGGCATTACTCCACCCACAATCTGTCCATGCGAGATAAGCAGACAATGTGGCGATTTTTTGTATGGAGGTCAACAATGATAAATGTCCATTGGGGTTGGGGAGGGGTACAGTAGGCAGTGTGCACCCAATGGTACGTTTGGCTGAGTGTACCACCCTCTTTAGCGCCTTGTGGTCAGTGACGGTGGGGTTGCTGTAACAGGCTGTGATGCAGCCCGATAGTCTGCTCTCGATGGTGCTCCTGTAGAACACTGTGAGGGCCCTCTGTAACAGGCTGAATTTCTTCAGCCTCCTGAGGTTGAAGAGTCGCTGTCGTGCCTTCTTCACCACTGTGTCTGTGTGGTTTGACCATTTCAGCTCATCAGAGAGGTGTACGCAGAGGAACTTAACGTTTTTGACAGTCTCCATGGCGGCCCTGTTGATGAGGATGGGGGCGTGCCCAGCCTGGTTCCTCCTGAAGTCCACAATCAGCTCCTTTGTTTTGCTGACGTTGAGGGAGAGGTTGTTTACCTGGCACCACGCTGTCAGAGTGCCTAACTCATCCCTGTAGGCCGTCTCGTCATTGTTGGTAATTAGGCCTACTACTGTCATGTCATCAGCGAAGTTGATGATGGAGTTGGAACTGTGTGAGGCCACGCAGTCATGGGTATACAGGAGGGGACTGAGAACGCACCCTTGCGGGGCCCCTGTGTTGAGAATCAGTGTGGCGGAGGTGGTGTTGCCTACCTTCACTACCTGGGGGTGGCCCGTCAGGAAGTCCAGGACCCAGTTGGATAGGGAGGAGTTCAGTTCCAGGGCCGTGAGCTTTGTGTTGAGCTTAGAAGGCCGAGCTGTAGTCGAACAAACAGCATCCTAACATATGCTTTCCTTTTGTCCAGGTGGGTGAGGGCAGTGCAATGGCGATTGTGTCGTCCATTGATCTGTCGGGCGGTAGGCGAACTGGAGTGGGTCGAGTGTGTCTGGAAGGGAGGTGGTGAGGCTTTGAAGCCACCGGTTGGCCATATTGGCACTCCACAGTGAGCAGTCCTCCATAGGAATGAATGGAATTCTACAGTATTTAAATTAAATGTTTAAAGGACAAAATTACATGTATTTAAGTATTTTTGTTGTTGTAGTGGGGACAGTAACATTATTACTCTCTAAAACAAATACTTTAAGGAAAAATTTGTCAATATTTGTTTTGTGTTTAGCTCACATAATATAATTTAAAAGTATGGATTAAGGTGTCTGTAATATAATAAATGTATCAAAAACAAATGTAGACATTAATAAATACATTTCTATAGCTTCCTAAATCTTTTTTACAATGGAGGAGGTGTGCCAAGATCATCCAGGATTTTTACACATCATTTGGTGTGACCACAAATTATTTATATGTATTTTTTTCTTCTGATAGTTCAGGGCCTGCTGCAGCACCTTCATCACCCCTACTTTCTGCGGGATATAAAGTGTATTTTTCTCAAAGTTGCCGGGATGTCACTTGTCCTACTTATATCAGTACAATCGTAAGAACCTAAGCATTACGAAACTTCTATTCAATCAAATAAGCCACACGTAGCAAATAAGCCATTTCATTTTTTGTTAACCAAATTCGACCTCCATACAAACACTCCAAGCTTGGTGAGCGAAAAAGAATTTATACAGAAAAACGTTTATAAATAATAGCAGGTATGTTCAAACTTTTTTCATCTGAGCCTTGCTGTAGGAAAACCACTACAGTGTCCGACTTTCGGCTGTCACAGATAGACCTCCCCTGACTTCACTCGACGACTTTCATATACAGTCGGCTTCGTTAGGCTTGCTGGAACACACCCTGACTTTGACTGCATTTTGGCCTATGCATTTTGGAACCTGTATTATTTAGACGTGTCATATTGTATCCTTTTTTCAAGGGGGTTGTTAGTAATTTTTATACCGATATGATGAATATTAATTGATCTTGACATTATTGTAACTATATTACTATCTGTCGGGGACCAAGGCCATTTATAGAGTTATAAACAGTGTATTTTTTTTCTTCATCAAATCTCAGATGTTATGCGTCCTACAGGCTATAATTTTCTATTAATTTTTTTATGTAGAGATTTCTAGTGACAAACACATAATGACATCAGAATGTCAACCATGGGAGTACTTTCACTTTCTGCCATCTGGTGTTTGGATGCAGCTTTGTCCTAAGGACTCAATTGAGTTTAAAACGTTTGACTGCTTTCACCAGTTTTGAGTTTAGCTTCATAAAGCCTTGGGGTTTACCTTTTCTTTCCACTGTATTTCATAAGGGGACCTGATGTAACTCATACCACTGGGCCAGACTCTTAGGCTACCAGAGAATGATCACCTCACCCTATTTATTTCCAATGTTGCCCGTTTTTGGAGCAGGGGGGCATGTGAGAATGAAGTATGTTGATAGGACAACAAGTCAATGGGTCTAGTGTATTTGAGTGTGCCTTCTCCAAATGTGATAGATTCCCAATGGAGCAATTGTTGCGAGAAAATGCCCCTGCCCGCCTGCTTCTGACAGCAGCTATAGTAGTGAGCACGTGTGACATCACAAGAAACTTGAGACCATCATTTTGAACAGCCCTCCCTTTTAGTGCCTTTTCCTCTATATGTGCTCGCCCCCTAACCCTCTCCCTTACCCCTAGCAGACACTCTGCTCTTTCTTCTTGGCTATAAACTCAGGCCAATTGCAATTGGGCAAAACAACACCTTGGCCAAGAAAACATCTCTTCTTCTCAGGACACACTTCACTAACTCTCTGTCTTTGAAACTCTACGTTCTCTGCATTTGAAGGTAAGAGAACCCAGTCCTTTATTATGCTCTATTTATTGCCATGCCACGTGGGGGTCATAGGAGGAACTTGACAAGAACGGTAAAATACAATGGAAATTCCACTGGTCGACATCAGTAGGGAATGTTGTGAGGTAGCATTGTGGAACTTGTCATTGTCAGTAGAACTACTTGATTTGACTTCCACAACAAATTTGAGTACTAAAGTATTTTTTTCAGTATTCATGATTCTGTGTTTTCCTGAGCAGTGTCATGTATGTGGATATATATATATATATATATATATATATATATATATATATATATATATATATATATATATATATATGAATTGTTGGAACACTGGTCTGATTAAGTCCATTTAGAAAGGTCAAAGACAGACACAGTGTGATAAGTAGTGAGCGCACAGGATTAACTGCACCAACTGACAGCAAATGCAGTGGCCACTGTCTCCTTTGTGTGACTGACACTGTATTTAGGGACTTGCTCAGAACAGCATGTTTTGTAGTTAAGTGTAATGATTGATTCATATTTTTCAGTTCTGACTGTTTTGTAATGTGAATCAAACCCACCACTCATCATGGAACATGATCTCATTCTTTGTCTGTAAATGCAAAAGTCTCTGCAAAAGTCTCTGACAGAAATGTCACAGTATGTTTTCAACTATGGATCTGGAATACACTATATTTTTATAACTGAGAGAGTGTCTACTGGACACTAGTGTCCAATGGAGTGCCTTTTACTTCAGTTGTTAGCCAGCGGATCCAACCCACTTCCCTACAGCTGCACTAGGGTTGGACAGCATTCCTGTGTATAATAAGACACCACGGAGCCAGGGTGAGATATGGCTTGGAAAACGTACTTCAATCCAGGGATGACAAATGCGTTGTACTCTGATTTTGTCCCATTATCCCAACTGTTACACCAAGAAGATTGAATGTTTTGAAGTAAACTGCCGTTTTCGTCCTCATGCTAGCTAGCAGTAGCAACAGCAGCCATTATGGAATGGCACGTCACGTTGAACAACGAAGGAGCTGATTGGCTGATACAGCCATTCCAAAATGGCTGCTGTGGCTTCTGCTACCGACCCTATTGCAGCTGTAAGCAAGCGGGTTGGATCTGCTGGCTACTTCAGTTGTTTGAGCAAGAAACCCCTTTTTTCACTTTGCCTAATAAATGCAAGAATCAGTTGATCCTACCATTGGAGAACATAATTTATAGCTGTTCCTCAAATTGTATTTACATAATCTGCATAACAACCTCTCAATCAGCCAATGGAAAGCAATACAAAAATGGAAGGTTATTACATAATATGTAATGTATACACCCCTCGAAAAGAGGGGGTCGGATGGTGTTTTATTTGCTGTGCTCTGCTGTGCCATATACTTTCCCATTTTTTCTTCAGGCACATTTGTTTCTCTCACTCACTCAGCAACTCAGCCTTGGTATCATATAAATAGTTTAATACTAGTTTCAGTAACAGAGGGAAGTTGCAATGTCTATCCACCATTTCAAACTACCGTCACATGGTGGTACATATTTGTGGTTCTTCTGTTGGACAAAACTATGCAGGATTGGTTGATGGAACTCCCACTATTAACTTTTTCTGCCCATCACAGATTAAGCTATGTGTTTTCTGATGGGTCAGTCAATAATCCATCATATAAGAAACCTAGCTAGTTTTTTAGCTAAATCTTAAAACATACATTTGATCAGAAATACCACTCTAATTTTAGACCTTTTTTAACCTGAGATCATCCTTCTTCACTCAGAGAGGATTTCCTGTCTGTATTGGTTGCCGACCACTATGGCTGGAAAAGCACTCAACTTCCTAAAACATCCAACATAAACATCAGAAAAATACTACATTTCAATGAAAGAGCATTGCAATGTAGATCATGCGTTCAGAAATAGATAATGTGTGTGTGTGCGTGCGTTTGTGTGCATGGGTCACCAGTGCATGTATCTGTGTGTTTGTTTGTAGTAGTGGTGGTGGTTGGGTGTTGATTTTTTTTAGAGACATTTTGTGTTGGTGTGAAGTGAGAACAGAGTAGAAAGACATATTCTGGAGTTTGATTCATAAGACGCAATGCAAGTATGGGCTTGCCCGACCCTTCTTGCCAGGGGCTCTTAATGTATTGGAATTAAGATTTTAGCCGAAGAGGGAGCGACTTAGCCAGGAGAAAAATCACACATGTAACGTAGCAATGTAGAAATGTGAAAAGGAAGAGAGACAGAGAAAGGAATGTTGGTGGAATGGGTGTGGGAACTGCAGACAGACCCCCCCCCCATCGCACTCCCCCCACCACATACACACACACAGACTTTAAATATTTGGAAAATAAATAGTGAAGTGGTATTACTTCATAAACTGTCACTGAAAACTCCCACTCTCCCTTTATCTCCTCTTCTCTTTATCTCTTGCTACACTCACTCTTTCCAAAAGGTTTTAACTGGGCTTTAACTGGGTGCTGAGAAGGTTAAGTAAATAATATATCAACGGGCGGACTGACTGACTGACTCACTAGAGGATAGATTGTTACCTGAATCGGATCTTAGTACATTAGAGGAAGATACTTCAGTGAACAATCTACTGTTTTTAAAAGGGGTAAGTTGTTTATAAACAGCTGCATGATATAGATTAATAGCTACATTAAATGCATTAGCATAACCAGTTTTCTCAGGGGAGGTGTGTGTAGGGATTTTTTGATTTATTAGGATCCCTATTAGCCGACGCCATTGGCGACAGCTAGTCTAAAGTACATGACCTCTTCTGGTCTGTCTATCAGTTCAGAATGAAAAAATGTGTTGGGAGGTTTAGTAGATTCCTTAAAGGCCCAGTGAAGTCAAAAACTAGATTTTCCTGTTTTATATATATTTCCACACTGAGGTTGGAATAATACTGTGAAATTGTGAAAATGATGATAATGATCTTTTAGTGTAAGAGCTGTTTGAAAAGACAGCCTGAAATCTCAGCCTGTTTTTGTGGGATGGAGTTTTGGCCTGCCTACTTAATAGACCAATAAGAAAGAGAGTTCCAAACCTCTCTGCCAATAACAGCCAGTTTTCAGTTTACCCCTCCCCACTCAGACCACTCCCAGACAGTCCTAGCAAAATTCTGTTGGGTATCATTGATATAGAAACTAGAGTTGCCCCATGGAGCAGAATTGAGGTACAATTTACACATATCAAAGGGTAACTCTTTATTTGGATAGTCTATTTGTAGATGCTCTACAGACTATCAGTAACATTTCAACTAACTATCTACTAAACCTAACCTTAACCCTAACCGTAACTCTTACCCTTACCCTTATTCTAAACCTATCCCTAACCGTAACCTTAACAGGTTGCTTATCAACAGTTGCTTATCAACAGATAGTTTGTTGATAGTATGACCATCTGTAGAGCATCTACAGATGGACTATCCGGACTATCCAAATAAAGTGTGACCTATCAAAGTACTGAGTATGGGTCATCAGAAGTCACATTCTGACAAATCATCCAATCATGTCCAATCATCATGTGTCTCTCAGAAAAAGTATAATACGTGTTAGGGTATGTAGGGAACCCGCTACCTGAGTCACGTTTGAAAGTGCATGATGTGTCATGTGATGTCAGAGTGCATCAAACCTTATCAAACTCGCATTTGACATGATAGGTTACAAGGCTGAGGTCTCTAGCAACTGGTGGGGAGTTGCAGCTGGTAAAAACCTGGACTTACTCCAAACTGCATCTTTGGAGCCAGTGAGCCACGTATCCATCCCAGGGTTTAAGAAAACTCCTGGCATGCATTTAAATGTGAATTCCAACATCCCACATCACTTGTACTATAAAACACATCTTTCCTCTAGAGGGTCATTGGGTTCAGCAGTGCAACACAGCAGTAATGTTTTCTATGGAAAGGTCAAACAGAAAAGCATACTTTCAAAAGCAGTAACTATGATGTATGGCTGCTTTTATCCAATATATTGTATATTGGTTGTACTTTCATGCCATAATAAAATAGACCAAAATGTTGTGTGGGGGTAGCAAAGAACATTAGTTATGGGTTAAGCATAGGCCTACATGTTGAAAGTTGAGATATACTTGGATGTTTTCTTTGGCTAGTCAGTCCATGTTTTTGAATGAAAAGACTGTAATACAGCACACTGAGAACAAAAGTAGCCTAGCTATAAGATTAGAAAATACAGCATTGCCTTGGCAGTGGACCAACACAACTGACAAGGCTTGATAAAGGGCCACATGCCTTATCCTGTTGTATACAGGGCCTTCAGAAAGTATTCACACCCCTTGACTTTTTCCACATTTTGTTATGTTACAAAGTGGGATTAAAAAGGATTGAATTGTCTTTTTTGTTGTTGTCAATGATCTACACAAAATACTCTGTAACGTCAAAGTGGAAGACATTTTTATTTATTTATTTGTTATTAATGGAAAATAAAACACAAATATATTTTGATTAGAAAAGTATACAACCCCCCGAGTCAATACATGTTAGAATCCCCTTTGACAGCGATTACAGCTGTGAGTCTTTCTGGGTAAGTCTCTTAGATCTTGGCAAATTTGGATTGTCTAATATTTGCCCATTATTCTTTAAAGAATTATTAAAGCTCTATCAAGTTGGTTGTTGAACCAGCTTTTCCTCTAGGACTTTGCCTGTGCTTAGCTCTATTCTTTTTATTTTTATCCTAAAAAACTCCCTATTCCTTGCCGATGACAAGCAAGCCCATAACATGATGCAGCCACCACGATACTTGAAAATATGAATGATGTGATGTGTTGTGTTGGATTTGCCCCAAACATAATGCTTTGTATTCAGACAAAAAGTAAATTTCTTTGCCACATTTTTAGCAGTATTACTTTAGTGCCTTATTGCAAACAGGATGCATGTTTTGGAATATTTTTTGTATGTACTGGCTTCCTTCTTTTCACTCTGTCATTTAGGTTAGTATTGTAGAGTAACTGCAATGTTGTTGATCCATCCTCAGTTTTCTCCTATTACAGCTATTTAACTCTGTAACTGGTTTAAAATCCCCACTGGCCTCATGATGAAATCGCTGAGCGGTTTCCTTCCTTTCTCACAACTGAGTTAGGAAGGACGCCTGTATCTTTGTAGTGACTGGGTGTATTGATACACCATCCAAAGTGTAATTTATAACTTCACCATGCTCAAAGGGATATTCAATGTCTGCTTAAAAAAAAAAACGCATCTACCAATAGTTGCCCTTCTTTGCGAGGCATTGGAAAACCTCCCTGGTCTTTGTTGTTGAATTTGTGCTTGAAATTCACTGCTCGACTGAGGGACCTTACAGATAATTGTATGTGTGGGGTAAAGAGATGGGGTAGTTATTCAAAAACAATATTAAACACCATTATTGCACACAGAGTTAGTCCATGCAACTTATTATGTGACTTGTTAAGCACATTTTTACTCCTGAAGTTATTTAGGCTTGCCATAACAAAGGGGTCGAATACTTATTGACTCAAGACATTTCAGCTTTTCATTTTTTATTAATTTGTAAAAAGAAATAAAAACATAATTCCACTCTGACATTATGGGGTATTTTGTGTAGATGAGTGACACAACATCTACATGTAAACCATTTTAAATTCAGGCTGTAACACAACAAAATGTGGAAAAAGTCAAGGGGTGTGAATACCTTCTGAAGGCACTGTAACTATTGTGTCAGTGTATCAGAAGGCATTATGTAAGCAGCCTCATATGACTCTATTTGCAGCCTCGTATGACTATTTGTTCAGCAAATAATTACATTTCTTGTTTGCCAGTTTCATCTGTAATGACGTCAAATCACAGCTGGCACACCAGTTGGCATAGGGCTGGTATGTATCTTACCCTTTAGTAACACTGCAGTGGAGATGGACAAGAGTGAAATGCTAAACCAATACCAGGGATCCCTTAAAAAAGAGATTCATATCTCAATGGCACTCACCTGTATACATATATATTTTTTTTGTTGTCATTTAGCAGATGCTCTTATCCAGAGTGACTTACAGTTAAGTGAGTGCATACATTTTTCATACTGCCCCCCTGTGGGAATCGAACCCACAACCCTGGCGTTGCAAGCGCCATGCTCTACCAACTGAGCTACACGGGACATAAAATATTTAAAAATAACAGTGTACAACAAAGTCTGTGTTCACAACGAAGTATGTGATGGAAACACAGTGTTTATATCAGATTTACATCCCTTTTCGGGGAAACATGAGTTGATTGAAACAAAAAAAGAACTGGCACTAACATTCTGTACTTCATTTTGTAATGGAGGAAAGGATTACATCAATTATGAGTTGTCTGCAGAAAGTCTTCAAGGTAGATCTGCCAAGTAAACCAAACCCTTCTGAAAGAGTAATGGTAACAGCCGACTTTTCCAAATCCTGGTGTGTCAGAAACATTGAGCAAGGTGATTTGATATCAGCTGTTTACAGTATGGTTGTCCTAATTCAAATGCTATTGACAGGACTTCAATTGGAAGGACTTCTATTGGAAGGAATTCTATTGGAAGGAATCCAAAAGTAGTCAGGAGTCTCATTACTGGCAATGCAACCAGAGGCATCAAATGAAATGACACACGCAGGGAGAGAGTGGTGCTATGGATTCCTTTGGTGGGAAGCAGACATGTGGTCCCATAGTGACAGACACCTTGACAACTCCCACAGTTACCCTAGAGTCTAGGCTACACTTTGCGACGTGCAAATTCCCCAAACCGCTTTCAATGTATGTAAAACCTGACTGTTTACATTGTTTAGTCTACCATCTGGAATGACATCCAAAAGATAAGTTGTTCATTTATCTAATGTTTATCTTTTTATCTTTGTTTCAGATTGGAACTTTAGCCTCCTCGTGAATCCTTCAATGTGTTCCTCCAGTCAGTGAAGAACCATCAGTCACACCCAGCCCTCTTTGTATCAGCCAAAACAATATGGAACTCCAAAAGCTATCAAATGGTCAACACCATGGCTTTGTCCCTTTGGAAGATGGGTATGTGTCCTCTTTGACTGCATTAATTGCTACCTGGCATGCAAGATAATATCATTCTGCCAGTTGTGTGCATGATAGTATTTTGATTTCAAAAAGGCCACCAAGATTCCACAAATTCCAAGGATATTTGTGTTTGTTTTCTGACAAACAAGACTATTAACACCTTATATTTGTCACTGTTTGTGTAGATAAATTGTCTACAGTCTAGTTTGACATGGTCTTGTGATGTCAGTCTATTTCTGGGTTTAGCTGTCAACTAATGCAAATTCAACGTGAAAGCAACAAAGCATTTCACCATGACATTGGATTTAGGTTAAAAGTTGGGAGAAAAAAAGACGATGTTTTCCACATTGATTCAACGTCATCACATTGATTTATTTTATTGAAATGACGTGGAAACAATGTTGATTCAACTAGTTTTTGCACAGTGGGGAGCCACTAACAACCATGGTGTGACAATCTTGTGGCAAGGCGAAATGAAAACACAGTTTTATTTTTATTGCACAGAATTTTATTGCTATGTTTGTTTGGCTATTTTGAGCAGATTAAACAAGTTAAATGAAATCCACTGTCATTATGGTTTTGCAGAGAAGGTATCTTATTTGTGTTGAAAACCTGGAAAAATACCTGTGAAAACATGCTATTTGTAAACACTAGTTTACCTCAGATGTATTTTAAACATTTAAATGGATACAGTACTCTTTCATGGATAGCATTTTCAAGCACCCAATGGATTATAATTATACTTTGCTTGGCTAAAGTTGGACATTGATGAAATTGGGTGTTGTTTAACCTTACAGTTTTTCTATTTCCTTGGTTTGATTGACTTCATAGTATCCCGCAGGCGGAAGAGGAAGAGGAGATGTTACCACATAAGAGTGATGGGACCAAGAAGCCCCAGTTTACAGATGTGAGTATGAAGAACTATGGCAACAGCTTTGGAGCCGGCAGTCATCCTTTTTATGCTGAGATGTCATGAAATGTCATTATGAGGAGTTATAACAATGGACATTCATGTCTTTGTGTCATTGGCAGTTTGAGGGGAAAACCTCTTTCGGAATGTCCGTCTTTAACCTCAGTAACGCCATCATGGGGAGTGGAATTCTGGGATTGTCGTACGCCATGTCAAACACAGGCATCGTTCTCTTTATGTGAGTACAGCAACACATTGTGTCCCTATGTGATTCTTTGAAGTGACAACAGACTAATTAGTACACACACACCCCCACCAAGTTAAATATTACACAGCTCTTGGCAGGACAAGATTTGGGGGGAAGGATTATTTGTGTCGTGTTTTTTGTTGTTGTCAAAAGGTTACAGATCCTCCCAATATTTGATACACACTGTTACTGCACAACACATAGCAACAATGTTACCAAAACAGTACAGTGGAATGCTGACAAAAATTATATGAAAAAGTAGTAAATCTAATGTTTGACATTTACAGTCCTCGAATGGTTAAAAGAACAGTGGCGAAGAGTGGTGTGCGTTGGTGTGTCCATATGTAATTTTTATGGGGAGATTTGAGACACGTGGGTGTCAGATTTCAGGAGTTAAATATAGCAGAGTTAGCTGATGAATCATAGCTTGGGTGTGAGCACACCACAGATATGGCTCCCTAGCATGCTTTGCACTTTGGGTTGCTCACATTCACGCCAGGTCCAGTCAGGAGTCAAGACTTGTTTAAATGTTTATGAATAAATAATTTGAGCATTGTCCCAATCAATTTGCTGTCACAGGAGGGCAGTCTATTCTTGTAGTGTTTACTTCGTTTGTTTGATGAATCTGTGAAGTGGTGGGCTGACCATGGGATTCATTATTTCAACATTGGTTTACCTTTCCAAAATACTCTAAGTCAGTTGTTTGTGCTCTGCAGAATCCTGTTGACATGTATTGCCTGTCTGTCCAGCTACTCAGTTCACCTCCTGCTTAAGAGTGCTGGAGTTGTGGGTGAGTATGTGTTACTTAGGACTAAACCTAGGAATCAAAGACAAATTAGAAGCTGAATCACAAAGTTTAACAAGATGAGAAAAGTGAACAGACTTTTCTGTCAACAAACTTTCCCTTTCCCATTTGGACCATTGAAAAACCTGTGATTTTACCCCTCCACAAATGCCTGACAGAAATGCCTAGCTTAAAAAAAAAAAGACAAACCTGAAGTAGGGATCCACCATATGAACCAAGCTGCCTGTAAATTAGTCATTGTGGGTTCGATTCCCGCTGGGGTCACATATACAAAAATGTATGCACTCACTGTTGTAAGTTGCTTTAGATAAAAGTGTCATCTAATGTCCTTGCATATAGATCCTGTCCCATGTCTACTCTTTAACAGACTAATGTCTTGTTTGTCTGTTCAGGTATTCGTGCCTATGAACAGCTGGGCTTCCGGGCTTTTGGACACCCAGGAAAAATAGCAGCGGGTGTCATTATAACCTTTCACAACATTGGTGGTAAGTACCTAGGAGGAGGAATTGGGTCATTGAGTTTGATTGAACAAAAACATTTTGCCCCTCTAAGATTTTGAATTTTAAGCCCCTTAAGGTATAAAACATATATATACAGTGAGGGAAAAAAGTATTTGATCCCCTGCTGATTTTGTACGTTTGCCCACTGACAAAGACATGATCAGTCTATAATTTTAATGGTAGGTTTATTTGAACAGTGAGAGACATAATAACAACAAAACAATCCAGAAAAATGCATGTAAAAAATGTTATAAATTGATTTGCATTTTAATGAGGGAAATAAGTATTTGACCCCTCTGCAAAACATGACTTAGTACTTGGTGGCAAAACCCTTGTTGGCAATCACAGAGGTCAGACGTTTCTTGTAGTTGGCCACCAGGTTTGCACACATCTCAGGAGGGATTTTGTTCCACTCCTCTTTGCAGATCTTCTCCAAGTCATTAAGGTTTTGAGGCTGACGTTTGGCAACTCGAACCTTCAGCTCCCTCCACAGATTTTCTATGGGATTAAGGTCTGGAGACTGGCTAGGCCACACCAGGACCTTCATGTGCTTCTTCTTGAGCCACTCCTTTGTTGCTTGGCCGTGTGTTTTGGGTCATTGTCATGCTGGAATACCCATCCACTACCCATTTTAAATGCCCTTTCTGAGGGAAGGAGGTTCTCACCCAAGATTTGACGGTACATGGCCCCGTCCATCGTCCCTTTGATGCGGTGAAGTTGTCCTGTCCCCTTAGCAGAAAAACCCCCCCAAAGCATAATGTTTCCACCTCCATGTTTGATGGTGGGGATGGTGTTCTTGGGGTCATAGGCAGCATTCCTCCTCCTTCAAACACGGCGAGTTGAGTTGATGCCAAAGAGCTCGATTTGGGTCTCATCTGGCCACAACACTTTCACCCAGTTCTCCTCTGAATCATTCAGATGTTCATTGGCAAACTTCAGACGGCCCTGTATATGTGTTTTCTTGAGCAGGGGGACCTTGCTGGCGCTGCAGGATTTCAGTCCTTCACGGCGTAGTGTGTTACCAATTGATTTCTTGGTGACTATGGTCCCAGCTGCCTTGAGATCTTTGACAAGATCCTCCCGTGTAGTTCTGGGCTGATTCCTCACCGTTCTCATGATCATAGCAACTCCATAAGGTGAGATCTTGCATGGAGCCCCAGGCCGAGGGTGATCGACAGTTATTTTGTGTTTCTTCCATTGTTGTCACCTTCTCACCAAGCTGCTTGGCGATGGTCTTATAGCCCATTCCAGCCTTGTGTAGGTCTACAATCTTGTCCCTGACATCCTTGGAGAGCTCTTTGGTCTTGGCCATGGTGGATAGTTTGGAATCTGATTGATTGATTGCTTCTGTGGACAGGTGTCTTTTATACAGGTAACAAGCTGAGATTAGGAGCATTCCCTTTAAGAGTGTGCTCCTAATCTCAGCTCGTTACCTGTATAAAAGACACCTGGGAGCCAGAAATCTTTCTGATTGAGAGGGGGTCAAATACTTATTTCCCTCATTAAAATGCAAATCAATTTATAACATTTTTGACATGCGTTTTTCTGGATTTTGTTGTTGTTATTCTGTCTCTCACTGTTCAAATAAACCTACCATTAAAATTATAGACTGATCATTTCTTTGTCAGTGGGCAAACGTACAAAATCAGCAGGGGATCAAATACCTTTTTCCCTCACTGTATATCCATCTACTAGCACTAACACATAGTATCTGTTTTGAAGAGGCCCCGTGTAGCTCAGTTGGTAGAGCATGGCTCTTGCAACGCCAGGGTTGTGGGTTTGATTCCCACGGGGGGCCAGTATGAAAAAAATAAAATGTATGCACTAACTGTAAAGTTGCTCTGGATAAGAGCGTCTGCTAAATGACTAAAATGTAAATGTAAGAGAACCACATGGTCACATACAAATGCACTCATGGCTTCACTGCACTCATGGATTTCATGGCTCATAAAAGTTTTAGTGGTTCATGACAGAAAGTTTTCCTCCAATGTTGTTGTGATATTGCTAAGCATTTTTAGGCAAACTAAAATACAGGTAAAATGGACAGTGTGTGTCTGTGTTTTCTTATGATAATAGAAGTTAACAACTCTGAAATATGTTTAATCCCCTCCAGCAATGTCCAGTTACCTATTCATTGTGAAGTATGAGTTGCCTCTGGTCATTCAAGCCTTCCTGGGCTTGTCATCAAACACTGGGTAAGTGGAGCAGCACCTTTCCACGTCTCAGTGTAGCAAACTAACATGAGGAGTATTGTCTTCGGCACACCTACTGATGTATGTTTAAGGCCAGGAGTTTTTCTTGACAACGCTACTTGTCCAGGAAACACTCTGGGCCCTAGTAAGGGGAGTAACATGCTACACGCTAACTGTTAAAATCCCCATAAGCCCAGATCACTCCTCCCTGATTGATCTCTGCAACCAATCAGAGCTAACCTCCTGTAGTTAGGACTGGACTTTCAACCCCATCCAATCTTTATTATCTGTCCATTGTACCATCCTCATTCCTCTTCATTGCCATCCCAAACTAGTCAACCCTCCCAATATTTGGTGCTAAAACCCAGGATAAGGATAATGCATTATACAGTGCATTCAGAAAGTATTCAGACCCCTTGACTTTTCCCACATTTTTTTTACGTTACAGCCTTATTTAAAATGGATTACATTGTTTTTTCCCCTCACACAATACCCCACAATGACAAAGCAAAAACAGGTTATTCTAAATTTTTGCAAATGTATTAAAAATAAAACACTGAAATATCACATTTACATAAGTATTCATACCCTTTACTCAGTACTTTGTTTATTTGTTTATTTTATTTTTTATTTATTTATTTTTAGTCATTTAGCAGACACTCTTATCCAGAGCGACTTACAGTTAGTGCATACATTTATTTTATTTTTTTCATACTGGCCCCCGTGGGAAACGAACCCACAACCCTGGCGTTGCAAACGCCATGCTCTACCAACTGAGCTACATCCCTGCTGGCCATTCCCTCCCCTACCCTGGACGACGCTGGGCCAATTGTGCGCCGCCCCATGGGTCTCCCGGTCGCGGCCGGCTACGACAGAGCCTGGATTCGAACCAGGATCTCTAGTGGCACAGCTAGCACTGCGATGCAGTGCCTTGAAGCACCTTTGGCAGTGATTACAGTCTTCTTGGGTATGACGCTACAAGCTTGGCACATCTGTATTTGGGGAGTTTCTCCCATCCTTCTCTGCAGATCTTCTCAAGCTCTATCAGGTTGGATGGGGAGCGTCACTGTACAGCTATTTTCAGGTCTCTCCAGAGATGTACGATCGGGTTCAAGTCTGGGCTCTGGCTGGGCCACTCAAGGACATCCAGAGACTTGTCCTGAAGCCACTCCTGCGTTGTCTTGGCTGTGTGCTTAGGGTTATTGTCCTGTTGGAAGGTGAGCCCCAGTCTGAGGTCCTGAGCGCTCTGGAGCAGGTTTTCATCAAGGGTCTCTGTGTACTTTGCTCCGTTCATCTTTCCCTCGATCCTGACTAGTCTCCCAGTCCCTGCCACTGAAAAACATCCCCACAGCATGATGCTGCCACCACCATGCTTCACCGTAGGGATGGTGCCAGGTTTCCTCCAGATGTGACGCTTGGCATTCAGGCCAAAGAGTTCAATCCAGAGAATCTTTTCTCATGGTCTGAGAGTCCTTTATGTGCCTTTTGGCAAACTCCAAGCGGGCTGTCATGTGCCTTTTACTGAGGAGTGGCTTCTGTCTGGCCACTCTACCATAAAGGCCTGATTGGTGGAGTGCTACAGAGATGGTTGTCCTTCTGGAAGGTTCTCCCATCTCCACAAAGGAACTCTGGAGCTCTGTCAGAGTGACCATCGGGTTCTTGGTCAATTTCTTCGACCTCATGGCTTGGTTTTTGCTTTGACATGCATGGTCAACTGTGGGACCTTATATAGACAGGTGTGTACCTTTCAAAATCATGTCCAATCAATTTAATTTACCACAGGTGAACTCCAATCAAGTAGAAACATCTCAAGGATGATCAATGGAAACAGAATGCACCTGAGCTCAATTTCGAGTCTCATAGCAAAGGGTCTGAATACTTATGTAAATAATTTTTACAAATTTGCAAACACTTCTAAAACCCTGTTTTCACTTTGTTATTATGGGATATTGTATGTAGATTGATGAGGATTTTTATTTATTTAATCCACTTTAGAATACGGCTGTAACGTAACAAAATGTGGAAAAAGTCAAGGGGTCTGAATATTCTCAGAATGCACTGTACATGGACCCAGCAAAACATGCCGCACCTTACAATCCTTACGCCTACCCCCAGGTCTCCAGTGCTTACCCCCAGGCCCCCAAACTGTGTTAGCCATCCCACCAGAACCACAAGCCATTTTTCCCTAACATTGCATCAATTGTCAAACAGTATGTTTCCTACTATAGTCTACATTGCATGCCATAATGAACCTAGAAGTAACTAACTTTTGTGTCTGGCTATGTTTTTTTGTTTTGTTTATGTTTTAAACTAGAGAGTGGTTCCTGAATGGGAATTACCTCATCATCATCGTCAGTGTGTGCATCATCCTCCCACTTGCCCTGATGAGACAACTGGGTATGTGACTGACCTCACCATGACCTTTGACCTTTCCTCATGGCTGCTAATGACCTCATTGGCTGTCTATCATTCAGTCAGCACCTCTTGATTCATAAAACAAAACATTTGGATTACTATAGACAGTGCTCTGTTAAGGATCTATTTTAGGTCAGGAGCAGACGTGTTCTGGAAACCAAACATTGTCAGCTGGGCTGAGGGATGGTTGTTGTTTTTTTGTTGTAGTAACAATTCTTGGTTGCGTCTTGCAGGGTATTTGGGTTACACCAGTGGCTTCTCCCTCACCTGCATGGTCTTCTTCCTTTCCTCGGTGAGTGACTTTCTGATGATGGATGTGTATACTGTATTATATTACACTATATATTATACCAACAATCACAGATTTCAATATTATATTCTGATGCGGCATTTGTGAAATTAAATTCCTCCTGATGATTGGACTTCCATTGTCCATGCTCTTCTATTGTCTGTTTTTAGTGATTCTTTACCATTGTTAATGTGCTAAATGTGTTAACAGCTTAGGGCATGAGTCATGACTAAAGACTAAAGACTGTGGTACTAATGTGCCCTTGACAATTTATGAGGAGATATTTATATCTTGTGCCACTCCACCTCACATGACATTTCATGTGAGCTCCTGTTTCCTATACTCACTGCCAGCCAGGCCTTGTTGTACAATGGTGAAATTTGCTAACAACATGGATACGTAAACTTTCTGAAATGGGTTATTGTCTGATTATTATGTCGACATACAAGAGGGGGGGGGGGGGGGGCAACATTATAAATTAACCACATTCATCCAAATTATTATTTTAATATTGTAATATGTTAAAACTATAGCTAAAATGTTTGATACTGTTCAATGTTGCTTGAATACTTGAGCACAATCCTAGATTACACTAGATTACACTGTTGATACAGTTCTGGGCATTAACAAGTTACTTTTTAAATGCCTTACTGCAGAAAGGTACATTGTTCATGTGACAAATTCTATCGTTGAACTTGATTAATTAGCAAAAGCAGAAGGATGAATGAGGCTTGGGACAGGAATTCACAAGTTAACTAGAGATATGTCATCATGGTTGTCAGCTATAGAGGATCGATCTGTTTCTGCTAACTCTGACCTCTCTCTCTCTCTCTCTCGCTCTCTCTCTCGCTCTCTCTCTCGCTCTCTCTCTCGCTCTCTCTCTAAGGTCATATACAAGAAGTTCAACATCCCCTGCCCCCTGGTGCCATATGGCAGCAATCACACAACAATTATCAACACCACCATGGAGGAGGGACAGTGCAAAGGCAAAATGTTCACCATAAACCAGGAGGTTAGGGAAATGGAGCGTTTACAGCACAGCTACACAAATATCAGTTAAAATATATGTTTTAGTGTTTATTCCACATCAGCTCTGGTCTTAGGTTCTTACTGTGCTACGACCACATAAGGTTAGGAGCTATTTGCAGTTGGAGCACATGTCATTCAATATGCTAATGACTTTGTGCATCCATGCACATATCATGTTACGGCCAGGGCAACTGGTTGTCCATGTGTATTGAAGCAGAGCAGAACCAGCGTGGCACAAATGTCCACACAGTCTTGTGAGTTTACTCAAGCACTCCTCGTGTGATGCTGCTAAGTTAACTTACCCTTTATATGGTTTCCAGACGGCGTATACCATCCCCATCTTGGCGTTCGCCTTTGTTTGTCACCCCGAGGTGCTTCCCATCTACACTGAACTCAAAAAGTAAGTTGATAAAACAATATGAACCCCCAATTTGATCCCTTCACAAGTCGCTCTGGATAAGAGCGTCTGCTAAATGACTAAAATGTAAATGTAAATCACAATGTTGAAATGACAACCTTTATGACAACCTTTATCCTTCTTTACTGATACTAATTTGCAGTACAACACATACACATGTACCTACACCTGTTGGCTTTTGATTAAATCAAGGGACATTTTTTATGTAATAAATGGAACATTAGTACTGTAATCCCTCTACCTCATTAATAGATTAAAAAAACTGCTTTCTTTTCCACCAAAGCGCAACCAAGAGGCGCATGCAGGGTATTGCTAATGTGTCCATCATGGGCATGTTCGTCATGTACCTCCTCACAGCCATCTTTGGTTACCTCACCTTCTACGGTAAGACCAGGGCTTCAAGAGGGCTTTAGTTGTATATACAGTTGAAGTTGGAAGTTTACATACACCTTAGCCAAATACATTTAAACTCAGTTTTTCACAATTCCTGACATTTAATCCTAGTAAAAATTCCCTGTCTTACGTCAGTTAGGATCCCCACTTTATTTTAAGAATGTGAAATGTCAGAATAATAGTAGAGAGAATGATTTATTTCAGCTTTTATTTCTTTCATCACATTCCCAGTGGGTCAGATGTTTACATACACTCAATTATTATTTGGTAGCATTGCCTTTAAATTGTTTAACTTGGGTCAAACGTTTCGGGTAGCCTTGCACAAGCTTCCCACAATAAGTTGGGTGAATTTTGGCCCATTCCTCCTGACACAGCTGGTGTAACTGAGTCAGGTTTTATGCCTCCTTGCTCGCTTATGCCTCCTTGCTCGCACACGCTTTTTCAGTTCTGCCCACACATTTTCTATAGGATTGAGGTCAGGGCTTTGTGATGGCCACTCCAATACCTTGACTTTGTTGTCTTTAAGCCATTTTGCCACAACTTTGGAAGTATGCTTGGGGTCATTGTCCATTTGGAAGACCCATTTGCGACCAAGCTTTAACTTCCTGACTGATGTCTTGAGATGTTGCTTCAATATATCCACATAATTTTCCTTCCTCATGATGCCATCTATTTTGTGAAGTGCACCAGTCCCTCCTGCAGCAAAGCACCCCCACAGCATGATGCTGCCTCCCCCGTGCTTCACAGTTGGGATGGTGTTCTTCGGCTTGCAAGCATTCCCCTTTTTCCTCTAAACATAACAATGGTCATTATGGCCAAACAGTTCTATTTTTGTTTCATCAGACCGGAGGACATTTCTCCAATAAGTACGATCTTTGTTCCCATGTGCAGTTGCAAACCGTAGTCTGTCTTTTTTATGGCGGTTTTGGAGCAGTGGCTTCTTCCTTGCTGAGCGGCCTTTCAGGTTATGTCGATATAGGACTTGTTTTACTGTGGATATAGATACTTTTGTACCTGTTTCCTCCAGCATCTTCACAAGGTCCTTTGCTGTTGTTCTGGGATTTATTTGCACTTTTCGCACCAAAGTACATTCATCTCTAGGAAACAGAACGCGTCTCCTTCCTGAGCGGTATGACGGCTGCGTAGTCCCATGGTGTTTATACTTGCGTACTATTGTTTGTACAGATGAACGTGGTACCTTCAGGCGTTTGGAAATTGCTCCTAAGATTGAACCAGACTTGTGGAGGTCTACAATTTTTATTCAGAGGTCTTGGCTAATTTCTTTTGATTTTCCCATGATGTAAAGCAAAGAGGCACTGAGTTTGAAGGTAGGCCTTGAAATACATCCACAGGTACACCTCCAATTGACTCAAATTATGTCAATTAGCCTATCCGAAGCTTCTAAAGCCATTACATCATTTTCTGGAATTTTCCAAGCTGTTTAAAGGCGGGAGTGGCCATGCACAAAGTAGATGTCCTAACTGACTTGTCAAAGCTATAGTTTGTTAACAAGACATTTGTGGAGTGGTTGAAAAACGTGTTTTAATGACTCCAATCTAAGTGTATGTAAACTTCCGACTTCAACTGTACTCTACAGAAAAAAATTATGATTTCATCATTTCAAATGATACTCAATTTGTGGGTGTGTGTGTGTGTGCATATAATATTTATGTAGTGAACACGGAATCTGAGCTCCTGCACACCTACAGCAAAGTGGACCCTCTGGACACCCTGATCCTGTGTGTGCGTGTGGCCGTGCTGGTGGCAGTCACCCTTACTGTCCCTGTGGTCCTCTTTCCTGTAAGAGCCTCCTCTCATTAGCTGTAAATACATACTCTAATTCAGTGTTTCCTGAACTGGGAACCACCCTGGGGGTCCGCGGAGGTACTACAGTGGGTCTGCGGCCAGATCTCTTTTTATTCTAAATAAATATTGCTAGCAACAACAGATTAAACACATTTGGCTAAGGGTTCAGTGAAACAAGTTTAGAAGGGTGCAATACAATACAATACACTGTAATATTATTAATCTACAAAATAGGCTACCCTTATACAGTGGGGAAAAAAGTATTTAGTCAGCCACCAATTGTGCAAGTTCTCCCACTTAAAAAGATGAGAGAGGCCTGTAATTTTCATCATAGGTACACGCCAACTATGACAGACAAATTGAGAAAAGAAATTCCAGAAAATCACATTGTAGGATTTTTTATGAATTTATTTGCAAATTATGGTGGAAAATAAGTATTTGGTCACCTACAAACAAGCAAGATTTCTGGCTCTCACAGACCTGTAACTTCTTCTTTAAGAGGCTCCTCTGTCTTCCACTCATTACCTGTATTAATGGTACCTGTTTGAACTTGTTATCAGTATAAAAGACACCTGTCCACAACCTCAAACAGTCACACTCCAAACTCCACTATGGCCAAGACCAAAGAGCTGTCAAAGGACACCAGAAACAAAATTGTAGACCTGCACCAGGCTGGGAAGACTGAATCTGCAATAGGTAAGCAGCTTGGTTTGAAGAAATCAACTGTGGGAGCAATTATTAGGAAATGGAAGACATACAAGACCACTGATAATCTCCCTCGATCTGGGGCTCCACGCAAGATCTCACCCCGTGGGGTCAAAATGATCACAAGAACGGTGAGCAAAAATCCCAGAACCCCACGGGGGGACCTAGTGAATGACCTGCAGAGAGCTGGGACCAAAGTAACAAAGCCTACCATCAGTAACACACTACGCCGCCAGGGACTCAAATCCTGCAGTGCCAGACGTGTCCCCCTGCTTAAGACAGTACATGTCCAGGCCCGTCTGAAGTGTGCTAGAGTGCATTTGGATGATCCAGAAGAGGATTGGGAGAATGTCATATGGTCAGATGAAACCAAAATAGAACTTTTTGGTAAAAACTCAACTCGTCGTGTTTGGAGGACAAAGAATGCTGAGTTGCATCCAAAGAACACCATACCTACTGTGAAGCATGGGGGTGGAAACATCATGCTTTGGGGCTGTTTTTCTGCAAAGGGACCAGGACGACTGATCTGTGTAAAGGAAAGAATGAATGGGGCCATGTATCGTGAGATTTTGAGTGAAAACCTCCTTCCATCAGCAAGGGCATTGAAGATGAAACGTGGCTGGGTCTTTCAGCATGACAATGATCCCAAACACACCGCCCGGGCAACGAAGGAGTGACTTCGTAAGAACCATTTCAAGGTCCTGGAGTGGCCTAGCCAGGCTCCAGATCTCAACCCCATAGAAAATCTTTGGAGGGAGTTGAAAGTCCGTGTTGCGCAGCGACAGCCCCAAAACATCACTGCTCTAGAGGAGATCTGCATGGAGGAATGGGCCAAAATACCAGCAACAGTGTGTGAAAACCTTGTGAAGACTTACAGAAAACGTTTGACCTGTGTCATTGCCAACAAATGGTATATAACAAAGTATTGAGAAACTTTTGTTATTGACCAAATACATATTTTGCACCATAATTTGCAAATAAATTCATAAAAAATCCTACAATGTGATTTTCTGGATATTTTTTTGGAAAAAAAAAAATCTCATTTTGTCTGTCATAGTTGACGTGTACCTATGATGAAAATTACAGGCCTCTCTCATCTTTTTAAGTGGGAGAACTTGCACAATTGGTGGCTGACTAAATATTTTCCCCCCCACTGTATGCACAACATGGCCTGGGAGGCTCACAGGGATCCACAGTACTCCATCAATGATCCAGTTTTCAACTCAAGTTTCTTGTATTTCGTTTTAAAAAATGTTGAACATCAATGCACTGCAATTTAAGCTTTAAAACTGCAAAATTGTCTCTCTGCCCCATGGGGAATAGAGGTAGAATTGCAGGAAATTACCTTGAAAACTGCTAACTGTTCTCTCCGATGCAAAGAGGGTGCCTTTAAAATGTTATTTCCCAGGGCCCGAGGCTTGGTTAGTCCGGAATGCTCTTTTTGGTTTTAAGGGGGTCCCTGATGAATTTGCTATCACAAAAGAAGTCCCTGGCCCCAAAAAGTACTTATTACTGTATTTCTAAGGACGCTTCCAATGGTTTGCATTTCAAACATTGTTTGCATTTCAAAACCAACATAGCCTAGATACTGTATATATCAATTTCACTCTAAATGTTAACCTACTGTGTCATGCTTAGAATAATTGATGCTGGGTTGTACATCCTATAATCTCTGTTCAACCCGGAGTTGGTATTGTATGGAATGTAATTTCATCAATTGGGTCTTTTATTTAGGTTGATTGACTTTAAACATACCTCATAACTGACACTCGGCAGCCATGTTTCAAGTTTCACTGTAGACACTCCTCTGAGTCCTCTCTGTTGTGTGTGGTTTCTCTCCAGATTCGCAGAGCCATTCTCCAGCTCCTGTTCCCAGAGAAACCCTTCCACTGGGCACGCCATATCACCATCGCCCTGTGTCTCCTCTTCGTGGTCAACGTTCTTGTCATCCTTGTGCCCAATATCCGAGACATCTTTGGCATCATTGGTGAGACTCCGAAAAAAAGCACTTATATGCTCATGAGTATAGGCTACTACAGTTCTTGCCATCCAGCCTCAGATGCTCTTTCCCTCCATACTCACCAATCAACCAGACATGCCATGTCTCATCATCATCCTTAACGCTACAGGAAAGACAGTTTACATTACATATGCCTCATACAAGAGTACTTACTCATTGTCTCATCTGGCTGTCCAGGGGCCACCACTGCACCTAGTCTGATCTTCATCCTCCCAGGATTATTCTACCTCCGCATTGTTCCCACCGAACAAGAACCAATGAAGTCAAGACCAAAGATCACGGTAGGTTTTTACATAACATTCATTTTCCTGCCATTGTCTAGACACGTTTGTTAAAACTCTCCATACAATCCCCAGGTTTTCAGAGTGGGTGGGTGGTATCACAATGGGTTCTGGAAAGAACTTCCGAAATCCGGCTTTGTATCGAGATTTAAAAAAACTTTAATGACTTAAAGGTCAATTCCAACAACTCTTTCTCTGGCTGGTTTCAGGCTGCCTGTTTTACAGCCATGGGCTTCATCTTCATGTCTATGAGCCTGACATTCATCATCATCGACTGGACGACCGGAGAGAAACGAGCTGGAGGTGGCCATTAGAGCACATCCATTGAGGTAGGGGTCCAAACGCCACACAGCTGCACGCCTTGTCACCATACCACTTCTCGATCACGTCTGGATTGTGAGAAAGATCAAACACGGTTGAAAGGCTGGACCCAGATCATCATGAGTCTTACCATACCTGCGCCATGGTAAGACCGTTTACCCACCAATTCAAATCAAATGGACATCCTACTCTTCCATGGAGGCTAGTCTTTGAGGAACCCAGTGATGTCACTTTCTTTGTGGAAGGAGTTCTAGTCAGAGATGTCACCCAGGCAGTGTCAGAGGAGCTGATGAGGGTGTTGCCCATGGAAACCCCTAAACTACTACATGCTGCGTGTGTCAAAAGCCATTAAGCTAGTACCACGAATGAAGAGCATCTGGTGTAAAACAAATGTGACAGAGATAGAAGAAAAGGGGAGGGGTTCATTTTCTCTATGCAAAGAGACTTGATATCTTGAACAGTCAGGCTTCCCTTGCTACCCAACTGCCAAACATTTCACCCCACTGTTGTTTCTCGATCAAATATCAACAGTGGTTAAACCAGCTTTAAGGATAAGAGAAGAAAATGTTATTCTAAAATGGATTTACTTTTATGACATTACACTATCTGTGAACCCCTAGATTTGGTTGTTGAACGTAATTTCAGCTAATTTCTGGAGGTAATTGACTGGTAGTGTACAGTTTTTTTTCTCAGAAGCTGCAGACCATTTAAAAACAAAATGAGCCAAGAATGATAAATCAAGCACTTTTCTGTATGGTCTAACTATTTATATTTGACCATGTTGCTTGATGCCAAATAATGAATTTACTCACATTTTCCAGTTATCAAATCAAAGTTTATTGGTCACGTACACAGTTTTGCAGATGTTATCGCAGGTGCAGCGAAATGCTTATGCTTCTAGCTCCAACTATGCAGCAATATCTAGCAGTACAAATAAATTGTTTGTTTTTTTGTAATACTACTAGCCACTTAACAATTGTATTGGCTTTAGCAAGCCCATATAGGTTCCCCAACTCCTAAACTTATAACTAGCTACCAAGAAGCCATTTCAGGCTATCAATCAAATTAGATTAGCTAGCTTGTCTAACTATCTTAACTGGTATGCCTGCTGGCAAGGTTGGTAGACTTTAAAAAAGAAAGCAATAACTAATTGTACTGAATAAGACTAACATTCCTTTCCATCTTTTACCCAGATTTTAGCAGAGATGCAGAGAAGCATATTTCGTTTCTATACAGAAAGCTCAAGAGGTATGCTTAGATATGCAGAATAACATCCAATTCCCCCCCCCCCCCCCCCCCCCCCCCCCCCGCATAGAATAAAGCATAAATATTATGGTTCTAGAATGCAGGAAAAAGCTGTTTCAGCTGTTTAAAAAAATCAGAACGAGCAATATCAGAACGAGCAATGTCAGAGTCCGGAACATAAATATATATATATGTATGTGAATGGTGTGTAAAGACAGTATGGACAGTATATGAATAGAAAAAGTGTGTACAGCAGTAGTTATATAGGATGAGCCATGACTAGAATACAGTATATACATATAAAGTGTAGATACATATACATACATAAACATATAAAGTGGGTAAAACAGTATTTAAACATTTTCAAATAGACCAGTGGTCAATGACTCTAAGTGCATAGGGCAGCAGTCTTTAAGGTGCAGGAGCAGTCATTCTTTTCTGTATCTCTATAAGAATAATTCTGCAGAATCAGTGTCTTCAAGTTATTGCAAGTTTGGCTTTTAAATATGCTGGACAGTATGGTTTCAATTCGGTATCCATCTAGTCTTCACCACAATATTCTGAACAATTAAATCACACATTTCTAAACAGATCAAGAGATCAAAACAACTGTGAAGTGAACCCAAAATACTTTGAACAATATAATTATCATACTTTCTTCATTTGTGAAAATGGTTTATGCTGGTGCTATGCAAATAGGTGGGTTGTTCCAGGAAAAGCGTGCCTTGCGTCCCTTTGATATTTTTAAGTAGAAATTATGCACCAATATAGAATTTTAAAAGCCTGTTATATTAAATGAAGTGCTCTTTAATATAGACCACATGGAGTGCCCTTTTCATATAGATCACATGGAGTGCCCTTTTAATATAGATCACATGGAGTGCCCTTTTAATATAGATCACATGGAGTGCCCTTTTAATATAGATCACATGGAGAATTCAATAAATCAAAACAAAATTATATGAATAAAGACATGTCCTTCCGTGAACCCTCTGTGACTTCTAGGAAGATTTTAACCCACTTAACCCCAACATTACTCCAAGTTTTCACTATCATTGTAAAGCCCTAGTTATTTTGTTGCTTTGACAAAGATATGTCTGAAGATTATTATTAATTTAATGTGATTAGTGATTCATTTACGTCTGTCCCTCATTTTAAGGTCAACCCTGTTACGTGAACTGAACTCTCGTTTAAATATGGTGAAACTATTCCTTTTTAAATATTTTTTTCAAAAGAAACTTGTACATCTAATAGTCAAATCATAGTGTAAAAGCAGTTGAGCTGGTTCTACTCTTTTTGGCCATTTTGTGGTGGAAAACTGAGCGGATCCAGCATAACACGTCAACCCTGTTACCCATAGATAGACAGACATTCAATTGCCACTTCCTGTTGCACACAACAAGCTTCCATTCCCCCTGTCACGAGGGGATTCATGGCTGATTTAAGATAAAATTATCGACCCTGTTACGGTCAACCCTGTTACGGTCAAACCTGTTACTTTATTTGGCACTTACTATAGTCTTTTAAAACCTCTTGAGATGGGAAAAGTTGTTTTTTTATGAAGTTGAACATGTGCTCTTTATGACAGAAATCAAACGTTTTTTTTGGACCAAGTTACACTTCTCAAAAGGCTCTGAATTGGTGGAACGACCCAGGTAATCTGCCATAATTTCTATGCATACTTGACATCCGACAAAGCGATGAGGCAAAAATGAAGAAGCGAGTGCCATAAAAACTGAATGATGACGTTCAGCTGTGTCTTATTTGACAAATACAGTACACCCAGCACATCGGGAACATTCCCAGGACATTAGCTAACATTCCCATTCATTTCTAGTTAGGGTTTTACATAACATTAGGATGATAACATCCTAAAAATGTTATGAAATATAATTGGAATGTTTTCCTAATATTCACTAAAATGTTGTTCACAACATCTGTAGCAACCACCACAGAGCATTCTCCTTTGGTTCTTATTAGGTTTCCAGGTAGTGTAATAACAAAATGTGTTCTTGCAACATCAGGGGAATGTTTTATACAAATATATAATCATGACAACACAACTGGATAGCACAACTGGATAGTTTTAGTGTCATTAGAACTTTTGGGGCAACCCAATGAATGTTCTGGGAATGTTCACAGAACCAGTTTTGGTTTGCTGGGCAGTCTGTCCAGATAGTCAGTCATACAATGCAGCATGTGCCAAGTCCCTGATTGCAATGATTTGTATAATGGAGACTTAGGTAAAACTATTGAATAAGGTCAAATATTGTGGAGCATGAGGAGCCCATTTGGGCGGCTGAATGCATGTTTAGGAAGGACAAGGCTGAGTGTCTTGGAGACATTGTTACAAAAAGGTGCTAGCTTTTTGTAATGGCACCAGCCTACTGTCTGTTGCTAAGCACATTTTGTGTTTGACATGGCACTATTGTCAATAATATTCTATTTTCAATAAATATGAATGGTTGTCAATATTTATCGAGAAATGTCTTTACTGTGATCCGCATGCTATGTGTCTTTTACTTTTCACAACATTCACAAATTATTGTAATTCTCCTTCAGGATGCAGACAATAATAATTAAAGTGGAACTCCAGCCACAATCAAGCTTTTTCAGGTTAGATTATTGGTTATAGCCCTGTTGATCGGTTTTGGTCCCAAGATTTACTGGTCAGTCAAAGAACATTGTTTTTGGCTTTAAATACCAAACTTTCAGAAGTAGGCTGAAAAGGAAGTGGTAATGACATCAGTGCTCAATGAAATCCATTACCCATAAAGAACACGGGTGACATCACTCACATTAGATAAGTAGGCAATATCTTTGGTTTGACTTGCCATGGCTTATACCAGTTTGTTGAATATTCATGATGGGGGGAATTCGGACCCGAGTTAAGCGCATGTAAATGGAACGTACTTCCCTTTTTCTGCACTGTTCTCTACACATATTCTGACCTTGAACTTAAGCATGAGAATAGCATGTTCACCTGCTATTCGTTTGAGGTGGAGATCGAATAAGTGTGGCAGAGGTGCGTCTACAGATAAACTATATTCTGACCTTTACTTAATTCCCTAATAATTCCACCACCATGGTTCCAGTAATGCCTGGCGAAAACCAAACTCTGCATTCCACAGTAAGAACATCATACCAAAGGTCAAGCATGGTGGTGGTGGTGTGATGGTTTGGGGATGCTTTGCTGCCTCAGGACCTGGACGACTTGCCTTAATAGAAGGAACCATGAATTCTGCTCTGTATCAGAGAATTCTACAGGAGAATGTCAGACCATCCGTTGTTGTGGAAAATAACCACTATACTTTATTACAAATAAGGTCTTACAGAGTTTTTGTTGCATCAAGAAATTACTTTATTAAAATTTCAACAAAGCCGATACCAGTCTGCAGAGTGGCACACCGTTCTTCCTCTCTCACGTCACATTATATACCATCATCCCAACTCTTCTAGCTCTAAATCCCTCCCTCTTCAGTTTCCCGCTCTTTATCACTCCACACCCACTTCCTTTGTCCCTGAGGACAGCTGAACTATTACTCCAACCAATCACTCGCTCCCCTGTCTTGCACACACATTAATGTTTAGTTTAAACATGACAAGGCCCTACATTTTTGAATCATACACAAACCTCACCCCCTCATGCTGTAATCAATCAAGAAGATACCAAGGAGACAAAGGTCTAGCCCAAACTCTATTCAACCCGGGTGCCGCTCCCTTCACTGTGTTTGAAGAGAGAGACAAAAGGCCACAAGCTAGTTTCAGTCTCTCATCAGATAAGACAGCCATGGATTTAAGTAAGAGCAAGCAATCTGACCCTAGGGCAGATTCCCTCTCTACTCACCCACACAGTGAAATTCTAACTTTATGCTCTTGATTAACCCAGTTCTACCTCATAGTCCATTAAACTCTACAGTTCATTAATAATAATTCACCACACCGTCTGTGAGCTGAAGCGCAGCTGGGTCATGCAGCAAGACAATGATCCAAAACACACAATCAAGTCTACATTAAAATTGCTAAAAAGCAACAAATTTGAAGTTTTGGAATGGCCTAGTCAAAGTCCAGACCTAATCCCAATTGAGATGTTGTGGCAGGACTTGAAACGAGCAGTTCATGCTTGAAAACCCACACGTCACTGAGTTAAAGCAGTTCTGCATGGAAGAGTGGGCCAAAATTCCTCCACAGCGGCGTGAGAAACTGATCAACAACTACAGGAAGCATTTGGTTGGAGTCATTGCAGCTAAAGGTGGCACAACCAGTTATTGAGTGTAAGGGGGCAATTACTTTTTCACACAGGGGAATTGGGTGTTGCATAACTTTGTTTATGAAATAAATGAAATAAATATGTAATTGTTGTGTTATTTGTTCACTTATGTTCCCTTTATCTAATATTAGGTTTTGGTTGAAGATCTGATAACATTCAGTATCACAAATATGCAAAAGTAGAGAAAATTTGAAAGGGGGCAAATACTTTTTCATAGCACTGTAAATGACACTTGTTTTAGATATATTTACATTTTACCTTATAATAGCTGGAGACAAATGTGAAACCAGTCATATGGCAGCAAACTGAAGCATATCAACATATCAACTTTCCCACAGTAAAGTTTATGAAATGCTGTGCCATTATGCAGAATTTAAATTGTACAGCCTTTTAACTTGCAGGAATGGGCACTCTCAAATGTGTTAATTATAGACTACCCCGACTTTCTCTGTTTCCTATTTCTATCATGTTAAATATTAGCCACTATCAGTATCGACCATCAGTAGGCCTAATAACCACACATATTCAACTACCAATTTACTGTTAGTTCCATTCAGTTGGTATAGCCTACATTATCATTACATTGTTTCGTTTACCTTTATTTGCTTCCTCTGTGAACGCCGTCACGGTCGTGTGGTTGTTGCTGAGGATCATTAGTAACAGTTGATAATATTTAAATCGTTATGGAACGCAGACCATAACAGTTTGAACCCGATGGTTAGTGCAGGCAAGTGCAGGCTATAGACGAGGGTATAGCCTACTATTGTACACTATTCTACATATTATAATTCTATGTACACTAATCTTCCAACATTACCATGCGTTGAAGAACTGAATATGGCAACTTTCAGGATTAATCAAAACATTGTATTTTTGATTCATCAATGTATTTAGTGCGTAAAGGCTCTCCAACCCTGTTTTTTATGATTCATAAATACTTTCCTAACCCTAAATAATCTACAAGATCAGAAGATCAGTATTTTTAAATATAGTAATTGGTGCTGAAACGGAGACGAATATGTATATATTTAGATGGCTTTATTTCAAACCAGGAAGGCTGGAGTTCCTCTATACTTTCACACAAATGGCCAATGCCATTAACTACAGTGCCTTCAGAAAGTATTCACACCCCTTGACTTTTTCCAAATGTTGTTGTGTTACAGCCTGAATTTAAAATTGATTAAATTGTGATTTTGTGTCACTGGCCAACACACTATACCCCATAATGTCAAAGTGGAATTATATTTTTTGAAATGTTGACGAAATAATTGAGTCAATAAGTATTCAACCCCTTTCTTATTTGTTATGGCAAGCCTAAATAAGTTCAGGAGTAAAAATGTGCTTAACAAGTCACATAATAAGTTGTATGGACTCACTCTGTGTGCAATAATAGTGTTTAACATGATTTTTGAATGACTACTTCATCTCTGTACCCCACACATACAATTATCTGTAAGGTCCCTCAGTCGAGCAGGGAATTTCAAACACAGATTCAACCACAAAGACCAGGGAGGTTTTCCAATGCCTCGCAAAAAAGGGCACCTATTGGTAAAAACAATGTAAAGCAGACATTGAATATTCCTTTGAGCTTGGTGAAGTTATTAATTACACTCTGGATGGTGTATCAATGCACCCAGTCACTACAAAGATAACTCTAGAGAGGAAGGAAACTGCTCAGGGATTTCACCATGAGGCCAATGGTGACTTTAAAACAGTTACAGAGTTGAATGGCTGTGATAAGAGAAAACTGAGGATGGATCAACAACATTGTAGTTACTCCATAATACTAACCTAATTGACAGAGTGAAAAGAAGGAATCCTTTACAGAATAAAAATATTCAAAAACATGTGTCTTGTTTGCAACAAGGCATTAAAGTAATACTGCAAAAAATGTGGCAAAGCAATTCACTTTTTGTCCTGAATACAAAGTATTATGTTTGGGAAACATACAATACAACGCATACTGAGTACCACTCTCCATATTTTAACGCATGGTGGTGGCTGCATCATGTTATGCTTGTAATCGTTAAGGACTAGGTCATTTTCCAGGATAAAAAATTAACCTAATGGAGCTAAGCACAGTCAAACCTTGGTTGCCTGCTTTCCAGTAGACACTAGGAGATTCACCTTTCAGCAGGACAATAACCTAAAACACAAGGCCAAATCTATTCTGGAGTTGCTGACCAAGAAGACTGCAAATGTTCCTGAGTGGCCGAGTTACAGTTTTGACTTAAATCTACTTGAAAATCTATGGCAAGACCTGAAAATGGTTGTCTAGCAATGATCAATAACCATTGACAGAGCTTGAAGAATTTTGAAAATAATGATGGGCAAATGTTGCACAATCCAGGTGTGGAAAGCTCTAAGAGACTTACCCAGAAAGACTCACAGCTGTAATTGCTGCCAAATATGCTTCTACAAAGTATTGATTCGGGGGAGTGAATATTTATGTAAATTAGATATTTCTGTATTTAATTTTCAATTCATTTGCTAAAATTTCTGAAAACTTGTTTTCACTTTGTTATTATGAGGTATTGTGTGTAAACGGGTGAGAAAACCAAATCAATTTAAGCCATTTTGAATTCAGGCTTTAACACAACAAAATTTGGAAAAGTCAAAGGGTATGAATACTTTCTGAAGGCACTGTATACAGTACACAGAATAAGCCAGGCTGCTAACTGTGAAGAATAGTGTATAGACACTTACTGCAGCCTCCATTACCAACAGGTTTGACCTGTTTTATACGAGTGCACCATCAGTACACTACATTCTTATAAGACAGACCCTAAACACCCCACATCCATTGATCTAATAAGACAAGGCTGATCAACAGCACCACTGCTGCCCTCACAGCAATGTTCAGAGAGGTTCCAGATTCAGAAGGAGAACAATCAACTGTGGTCGCTGTACTTCCTGCTCTCTCCTGCTGTGCTGCTCTAACGTCACATAGCACAGATCAGAGCAAGGAAGTCCTCGCTATAGATACATGACTCCGCTTCTCCCTCACAAGCATTCAGAAGTTTGAGGGGCCTCATAAGCTGTATCTGAACTTAAAGACCCCTATCTGGCCTGTGTGGAGCAATGAGTCGGGCATCAAAGTCGAGGATGCAGGAGAACAACCTCACCATCCTTCTGAGCAGCCAGGAGAAAGAGGCTGTGGTGGAGTTCCTGGGCCGGAGATGTGTGGTAAGTCCCCATGACAACCTAAGGCTTGTTTATACCTGCTGCTTGCATGTGTCCTTTGTCCTTATTTTGTCCACATTCTGATTGTGCTCAAATGTTTTGCCAGGTGTAGACAATTAAAAGATGCATTGGGATCTGATTGTGATCAGATATTCCTGAAGACCTCCAGAGGTAGTCTGACATGCATTGTGTCTGGAAGTCTTACACGTGTAGATGGATCTGGACAGTGAAACCATTTAAATCATCATTGTCCCACCCTCTAAAATCATTAACAGGTGACACAGTTGACTTATGCTATCAATATGTGTTGTAGCCCTTTGCACTTGTACCCGTATATGGGTTGAAAATAGCAGATTTGGACACTGATAAGCGCCTAAATTGGAACGCAGTGGCTGTACAGTAACATGCTATACATGACGTCAGAGCTCAGGGTCTCTGCTTCACGGTACTGTATGGGTTTTGACTGACAGCCGAACTGAATTTGAGCACAGCGTGTGACAAGGAGTTACCCCCATCCCTACCGCTAACTGGGCTACCTTTGCAAAAAAATGGTCTGAGTGAAGGAAATGCAGTAAATTACAAGGACTCAATGTATTTTGAAAGATGAGACCTTGAGGATTGTAATAAATACCGCTTTGATGTCATTCAAGCAAGCCAAACACCCATGAGTCCAAATGTGCACTAAATATTTCCATATCATAAAACTCATGTAAGTGCCTCACTAATAGCAACCACCCTGTTCGCAGTCTTTACTCAGAAGTGGGAATGTGAACTGAGAGTTATACAGATATAGAACCTTAATTTGATCACCCTGTTGCCAGAGAACTTTACTGCAATGGAGGAAATGTAAAACTTGTAGTGCATTAAATGTTTAAAAAGGCTTCTGAAGTTTGTATTTTCCACTTTAAAATTTTAGACTTGATTTTCCCTTACGAAAAATTTATCAGCCCCTACAAAAATGTCCATTAATTAAAATCCACATAATAATTCACATGTCCTGTTGCTGCAGGATTATTTTCCTGCTGTAGCAAACTAGCTCAAATTAAGATCCTACATCAGTATGGTTCAACATATACCTCAATGGGTTCAACTCTAAATATAGCTTGAGACCTTTTGAAAGGTGAATGCCTTGAGGGTGATAGTCTTGTGCACCAGACACTTCCACCGTCCGCAATAGCCTGGGGATGAGGTTACCAGCTTGGTGTCAAGTCCACAGAGGCAACCAAGAGATGGGATATCCCTCTGGAGGAATATTAGCATTGATCAGGGGATCGCTAACTAGTCTCTTTGATTAAAGTACCAACTTTTAGCATTAAGCATCATTAGCATTTCTCTCCCTGACTGGTTTGCACTTCTTTGCTCTTGTTGTTCTTCAGACTCTGGCCACAGCCGTGGTCCAGTTGTGGATGGCCCTGCCTCACAGTCCGTGTCAGTGGAGTCTGCAGCACACTGGGACCGTGTGCTTCGTCAAGGACAATCCTCGACAATCCTACTTCATATGCCGTTTTAACATTAAGATTCCACTATTTACCCTGCTACAGTATGCTCTTTGTGTAGATTGTCACTTCAAACTCTGTAATCAACATTGGCTATGTTAAGGACAATACTGTATTTATCCATCCATGTATTCATGTTCAATTCATTGCATGTTTATGTACTGAGAAAAAACATGAATAACCTCAGCTGAAATACATGGGCGTGTCATGAGTGTCCAAATCAGTCTTAGCCACGTGGCTGTGCATGTTTGTACTGTGTGTTTTGTATAGGAGGGGAAGCAGATATGGGAACAAGAGCTGTACAACCAACTGACGTACCATAGTCCTCAGTCATTCTTCCACACCTTTGCTGCTGATGTGTGTATGTGACTGACTCGGTCGTGTGTACTGCAGGACTGTGTTAGCCTGCTAAGCTAATGCCTAGCCCTTCAGGTCACAGGCAGGGTTTCTCATTATTTAAGCTTTACCTGGTAGTACCTTCAGTGTCGGTTTCATATACAGCGCCCCTATCATATGTTCCCCCTCAAGTCTACCTGTCCTGAGTGTGCCTTCAGTGTCCAGGGGCAGACACATAATCAATTTCTACAACTTTTTTTAAAGCATTTTTCCCCAACAAAAGGCAATGTTTTACTTGCATCATGCAATATGCAGAACATATTACACTGGTCACCCCTGTAGTTTGAAATCAATAACGGCTGATGTTATGCCACAGGAATGTCAGGTAGGCCTTCATTTAGCCAGTGAACAGGAGGCAGAGATGTTCCAAATCCCTGTGGAGGACAAGATCAACCAGAGGGCCAATCGTCAAGGTCAGTTAGTTAAAGTCTAACTAATTATATCTCTAACTAATCTCTGCACCTTCACCTGTCTAAATGAATGCTGTTGTCCATGCAGACTGAAGAGGATCTACTAATGAAGTTACAGTCAACATACACTAAATGACCAAAAGTATGTGGACACCTGCTCGTTATCACATCTCATTCCAAAATCATGGGCATTAATATGGAGTTGCTCCTCTTCTTTGCTGCTATAACAGCCTCCACTCTTCTGGGAAGGCTTTCTACTAGATGTTGGAACATTGCTGCGGGGACTTGCTTCCATTCAGCCACAAGAGCATTAGTGAGGTCGGACACTGATGTTGGGCGATTAGGCTTGGCTCGCAGTCGGTGTTCCAATTCATCCCAAAGATGTTAGATGGGGTTGAGGTCAGGGCTCTGTGCAGGACAGTCAAGTTCTTCCACACCAATCTCGACAAACCATTTCTGTATTGACCTCGCTTTGTGCACGGGGGCATTGTCATGCTGAAACAGGAAAGGGCCTTCCCCAGACTGTTGCCACAAAGTTGGAAGCACAGAATCATCTAGAATGTCATTGTATGCTGTAGCGTTAAGCTTTCCCTTCACTGGAACTAAGGGGCCTAGCCCGAACCATGAAAAACAGCCTCAGACCATTATTCCTCCTCCACTAAACTTTACAGTTTTCACTATGCATTTCCACTTCACAAAAACAGCACTTACCGGGGCATCTCTAGCAGGGTAGACATTTTATGAACTGACTTGTTGGAAAGGTGGCATCCTATGACGGTGTCACGTTGAAAGTCACTGAGCTCTTCAGTAAGGCCATTCTACTGCCAATGTTTGTCTATGGAGATTGCATGGCTGTGTGCTCGATTTTATACACCTGTCAGCAACGGGTGTGGCTGAAATAGCCGAATCCACTAATTTGAAGGGGTGTCCACAAACGTTTATATATATAGTGTAAATGCTCTCAGCAACATCACCGACAACTACGTTTTACCATCTCATAATGAAATTAGTAAAATCAGTCAGCCAAGTAGAGCTAAAAATAAAAACACTGATTGATTTAAATTGATCTGTGAACTGGAATAGGTTGCCACTGCATCAGCTTTCCATAAGGTTGTATAGTTGCCATGGCGCCTAGTGGCAGCCTAGGTAGAGAGCTCATGTAAATTATGTAAATATGTAAGGGATAACCAACAAGGGGCTATGCGTTCTATGGAAAATAATGAACAACGTGGATGGTGTGTTCCACGATGCGCTAGCTGAGTTTGAACTGACCTTCCACGGAGTTGCATTATTTTCCAGACAACGCATAGAGCCCCGAGTTGATTATCCCTTTTATACCATGGCTATAATTTAACACATTAGCCACTAGAAATGTGTTCGACATCCACTGAAGTAGCTATCAAGTTTACTAGATACAGTTGAAGTCAAAAGTTTACATACCCTTAGGTTGGAGTCATTAAAACTCGTTTTTCAACCACTCCACAAATGTCTTGTTAATAAACTATAGTTTTGGCAAGTCGGTTAGGACATCTACTTTGTGCATGACACAAGTCATTTTTCCAACAATTGTTTACAGACAGATTATTTCACTTATAATTAATGGATCACAATTCCAGTGGGTCAGAAGTTTACATACACTGAGTTGACTGTGCCTTTAAACAGCTTGGAAAATTCCAGAAAATGATGTCATGGCTTTAGAAGCTTCTAATAGGCTTATTGACATAATTTGAGTCAATTGGAGGTGTACCTGTGGATGTATTTCAAGGCCTACCTTCAAACTCAGTGCCTCTTTGCTTTACATCATGGGAAAATCAAAAGAAATCAACCAAGACCTCCGAAAAAAATGTGTAGACATCCACAAGTCTGGTTCATTCTTGGGAGCAATTTCCAAACGGCTGAAGGTACCACGTTCATCTGTACAAACAGCAAAGGACCTTGTGAAGATGCTGGGGGAAACAGGTACGAAAGTATCTATATCCACAGTAAAACAAGTCCTATATCGACATAACCTGAAAGGCTGCTCAGCAAGGAAGAAGCCACTGCTCCAAAACCGCCATAAAAAAAACCAGACTACGGTTTGCAATTGCACATGGGGACAAAGATCGTACTTTTTGGAGAAATGTCCTCTGGTCTGATGAAACAAAAATAGAACTGTTTGGCCATAATGATCATTGTTATGTTTGGAGGAAAAAGGGAGATGCTTGCAAGCCGAAGAACACCATCCCAACCGTGAAGCACGGGGTGGCAGCATCATGCTGTGGGGGTGCTTTGCTGCAGGAGGGACTGGTGCACTTCACAAAATAGATGGCATCATGAGGAAGGAAAATTATGTGGATATACTGAAGCAACATCTCAAGACATCTGTCAGGAAGTTAAAGCTTGGTTGCAAATGGGTCTTCCAAATGGACAATGACCCCAAGCATACTTCCAAAGTTGTGCCAAAATGACTAAAGGACAACAAAGTCAAGGTATTGGAGTGGCCATCACAAAGCCCTGACCTCAATCCTATAGAAAATGTGTGGGCAGAACTGAAAAAGCATGTGCGAGCAAGGAGGCCTACAAACCTGACTCAGTTACACCAGCTCTGTCAGGAGGAATGGGCCAAAATTCACCCAACTTGTTGTGGGAAGCTTGTGGAAGGCTACCCGAACGTTTGACCCAAGTTAAACAATTTAAAGGCAATGCTACCAAATACTAATTGAGTGTATGTAAACTTCTGATCCACTGGGAATGTGATGAAAGAAATAAAAGCTGAAATAAATAATTCTCTATACTATTATTCTGACATTTCACATTCTTAAAATAAAGTGGTGATCCTAACTGACCTAAGACAGGGAATTCTTACTAGGATTAAATGTCAGGAATTGTGAAAAACTGAGTTTAAATGTATTTTGGCTAAGGTGTATGTAAACTTCCCACTTCAACTGTATCTACCTCTATCGATCCAGTATCCCTGCACATTGTAAATATGGTACTGGAACTGACCCTGTATATAGTATGCTTACTTACTTTATCGTTATCGTGTTCTTCTTGTTACTTATTTTTATATATTGTGTGTTTTAGTTCTACCTTGTTATTTGTAGTATTACATTGTTATTGATTACTGCATTGTTGGGGTTAGAGCTAGCAAGAAAGGCATTTCACTGTAGTTGTGCATGTGACATTAAAACATGAAACTAACCAAAGAGAGTGGAAGGAGACTAAATTCAAACATTCCCCAATCTGGATACACTATAACATTAATCTCTACTGAAATACCAAAGCTAAAACATATCATAATAATAAAATAATATTTATTACAAACAACCATATCAATTTAAACTAACACAAACACATCTAAGAGTACAAAGAAAAAACACAGATATAGTCAACGTAGCTCAATGACCAACACACAAGCCCAAAAAACAGTAAGACAAAGAACCTCTAAATACACAGTATTCCTTCTGAGAGGGGTTGTGACCTGTACTAACCCACAGTGGAATTTACCGCTGAAGCCAACCATTGTGGTTTGCATATAAGCCACTCTGATTGGCTGACTGGTTAGGCGCAGTAGGGAGTGGAAAGGCCTCTCTAAAAAGGCCAAGATGGCTGACACCAATCATAGTTTTGGGAACAAAATAATGTAATAGTTACTGAGTGAAATGGTTTTGTATGTCGCCCGTAACTCCCTTTTAAAAAGTTAATTTACTAATGTCACACTTACAGCGTCTTGAATCAGCTCACAGACATACTCTAGAAGGAATATGGTACCAAGCGTTACGTGTTTTATTACAAATTATATTCCAGAAACGAGAGAGGTAGACATTTCTGGATTCAAACTCTATAGCTAAGAAAAGGCAAAGAAGCCATGTAAAGCCACAAAGAATATGAATATAGTGAAAAGTATGTTAAAGGCCCAGTGCAGTCAAAAACATGATTTTCCTGTGTTTTATATCTATATTTCCACACTATGAGGTTGGAATAATACTGTGAAATTGTGAACATGATGATAATGCCCTTTTAGTGTAAGAGCTGTTTGAAAAGACCACCAGAAATTTCAGCCTGTTTTAGTGGGATGGAGTTTTGGCCTGCCTGGCGACATCACCAGGCGGTACAAGTTATTAGACCAATAACAAAGAGAGTTTTAAACCTCTCTTCCAATAACAGCTAGTTTTCAGGTTACATATCCCTCCCATTAGGCTCCTCCAATTAGGCCCCCACCACTCCCAGACAGTCCTAGCAAAATTCTTGCTTGAAAAATTGCTCTTTGCTAAGAAGCTACTTTTGTTTATTTTTTACAATTTTAATTGAAAACAATCACAGTAAGGTACTTAATTGTTACCCAGAAAGGATTTGATATTGAGATAAAAATGGCTCCTTTGGACCTTTAAATAGAACAGGTTTTCATTCAAATAGAGGATTCTTTGGCTTCAGAGTTCAGTAATCTGTCAGCACGTTGCTGTACGACAGTATTATGGCTTCCTATCCATAATCATTTATTTATTCATTGAAATATTAATATTTTTAATTTCCAAAAAGGTCTACCTCTTTTTCCTCAAAGCCTCTTTCTGTGAATACTGGTCCTGTCAATCAACAATACATTATAATAATAATATCCCCTCCCCCATCCCAGCCCTCACATCCCCACCACCAAAGTGCAGAACTTACAGGAATATGTACAGTCTCAAAATAAATATGTTTCATGGCGTGGGTGAGAGAGAGAGCAGTGGATTCATGAAAAGTCCAAACCTGACATAGATCTGTGAGATCTAAAAGTCCTTTACATGTATTCATACCATATGAATGCACTGTATACGTGTGGTATCCAACAAAAGTACATGATAGAGCCAGGTGAGTGCTAGTGAGTATACTAATGTCTCACCTCTAGAGGACAAGAAAAATAGTGTGGCCATGTCACATAGCCACATTTTAAAGAGCCTTCCAGCCCAGTTTCTGTTGGATCAGTTTCTCATCAGATGTCAAGCTGTTGTAAAAGTAATGTAGCTCCAAAAGAAGAGAGAATATGTATTGTCATTTCGAAGCAACACAATAGCAATCCCCTATACTAACTGTCTCCATTTTCTTTTCTCACTGCAATTATCAACAGCTAATGAATCTCTTTTTTCTGAAGAAATCATTCCAAACCAAACTTTCTCTATTTACATGTTCCTTTTTTAATCCCTCTATAGTCTTGGCTGGAGAATGGAACAGCATTTGGTCCAAAATGTTGTCTCTGCCTAACACACTATTGAAGTGCTGAGCAGAAAGAAGCACAAGGTTGGAGCAATTTACTCAAACATTAGACTTGGATAGCTTTTTAGCTGACACTAATGGTTTTGTATTCAGTAAGTATAGTATTGGGTTTTAAAAAACAACCAATTGCATAACCCTCAGGAGTCCAACAAATAAAAAGAAGTAGACTAATTTGGTCAGTTTCTTCCTGCTAACAAATACGTTTGGTCAAATTAAGCAGGAGTGTCTGATAATCCACTTTTTCTGTGACATGTCATGTTTTAAAATAAATTATATCAGAATCTTAAGAAATGGCAGACGAAAAACATGTAAACGGGTCATTCTTGAATTGCGGTGGCATTTACGTCCATCGCCTTTGCCACCATGAAAAACTATTGAAATTGACAAATAGTTACACATCATACATGCTTTTGTTTATATTGAACTGTTTATAAATGACAAAACATAATGTACATTATTAGGCATTGTTTAAAGTATTTAGGGAAAGCAAATTGGCTTGTCCCAGTAGTGATGAGTAGAGTTGTAGTGACATGTTTTAGGGATATCTATCTATTATTTTGAATGCTAGAAAGTTAACAAAAGTATTTCATATATTATATAGATCAGGGATGGGCAACTTGGATGGGGGTGGGGGCCACCAAAAATCTGAACTCATCATGAGGGGCCGCAGTGGCTCGTGGGTCTTCGTACCCACACATGCAGTCAGAGCCGGCTCTAGCCTTTTGTGGGCCCCAAGTAAAATGTTGTACCCCAAAATGTTGTACCCCCACCCCACCACCTTGCGAGCAAAACATTTTAGATTGATCCACGGTCCTACAAAAGGGAGCCGCCAGTTGCCCATCCCTGGAATAGATCAATAAAACCAAGAAATTAAAATACTTTATTTTTACAAATATTATATGTCCCTAAATTTTATGTCATTGGTATTACCGCCTTGAAAATCACTCATAACAAAGATATACTTAGAGTGGCAAACTGTTATCGGGGGATATTAAAGAAAGTTATTAGCTAATCACACCCTTTTAGTATGTCACAAATTTGAGGATTCCATTGATCATTTAGTGTGTGTAAATGCAAAGTGTCATTGGTGTTACTCAATTTAAATTAAGGGAAATTACATTGTGAGCTAAATTATTAATTATCACTGCAGTAAATAGTTTTTAATGACCTTAGATTTGAGCATTTGTGGCCTCCATTTAAGAAAATCCTCAATTACCTAAAATGTGTCATTGGTGTGACAGTCATTGGTGTTACAACACCTACTGGTGGCACAATGTAATCATAATGGTACAAGTAATTAAAAGTAATTAATCATTAAGCTTCCACATTAGTTGATTTTTTTAAACATAATAAAAAGCATTTTTGCCAAATGGCACCGCAATTCAAGATCGACCCAAAACTGAGCCGTATTCTTTCTGATTTGACATTGGCAGGATTCTATTGTAACAAAATTTAGAACGGAAACACAATATACGTAATACTATTAAATTGCCCATGCTTCATCAATTAGATTCATGGGAACAAATGGATTGTAAAAAGTGAGGTTGAGGCAGGCATACAACATGTGACACATTTTACAATGATTCATATGATAGTGTCTCTATATCGCCTAACTACCATGGTGGTGGCTAGGCAACTCTTGTTTACACTAACAAAATCCTCTGCAGTTTCTAAAATTGCTTACACTGAGTGAGACAATACAATGTGACATACTATAACATAAGTAGTGGTCCAATTGATAATACCTGGGCTTATGGGATCAGGGATTCTATTCAGGTTACTAGTTACTAACTAGTTGCTAGTTAATAACCAGGTTACTAGCTTGGACGGAATAGGGTAGTTAATTTGCAGATTAATCTAAAGATTCGTATGACCAAACCCTCCGTGCGTGTAACTCCAATTTTGTAAGAAACCACAGAGCTATGTGCACAGATCTAAAGTTAGGATTGGGCTCATGGAGACTAACCCTAAATGGGAGTGAGATAAACAACAACAACAACAACAACATCACAACAACATGAGTGAGTCTGCCCGTTACCAGCGTGGAGGGCCACAGTGGCCCTCCAGGGCCTGGCCCGGGCACCAGTGAATTAGAGGGGGAGAGACGGGGTCTAGGAGGTGCTAGGGGCCCCCGGGGCTGGCTCTGGCTGGCTATCAGCGTGCCTCCTGCTGGTGCGTTTGGTGGCCAGGTTAGGGTTGAGCTTCTGCCAGTAAGACTGACAGTACTGGTTGATGAGGCGGATCTCCGGCTGGGAGGAGAACTGCGGCGGCAGGTTGTGAGGCGGAGGTGATGGAGGCGGAGGGTGGTGGTGGGGGTGGCGGTGGTGATGCGGGTTCTGGTCCTCCGGGGGGCCGTCCGGGGAGGTGAGGGCCTCTACAATCTCCCGGTCCAGGATGCGGAGGGCCACGCGGGCCACCGTGTGCTTGAAGTTGTTCTCGGTGGCCAGGCAGTTGTACAGCCCCCCGTCGGCGTGGCTCAGAGACTTGAGCAGGATGCCGTGACCAGTCTTCAGCACCTCTCTGTCTCTGCTCAGCTGGGGGAGGGGGAGATAAAGAACATCATCGTGAGAGAAAATGAGAAGACAACATTATCTACAGCCATCATACAAAAGCTATCTGAACTTAACGGTCCCTTAAGCCTTGTCATACCACTTTCCTCCTGCCGTCTGGTTTCTGGTAGAGCCATTTGACTGTCGCTTGTGGAGATCTGGGTTGGCACTCCAGGAACGTGCTACTCCCCTCCACCCCAAACTGCACTGTTTCACTGAGACGCTTCTCAACTGAAGGGGAGAGAATCAGAGAAATATGTGGAGTACACATCTGAATCAAATGACTTTTGACCCCATTTGACCCCATTAACAGTGGTTAACTCATTTGTGAGATTTTGTTGTGAGACCTTTGTATGCAGTGAGATATACTATTCAGTGCTTTGGCTGTGATCACATACCTTTTGCATTGAACCCTCTGCACTGCCGCAAGGGGTCTCCATGCTTAATATCCTGTCTTCTGCTCCGCCTGTGAACAAGTATGGGAACAGTGCATTAGACTCTATACATTATCACAACTTTGACTTATGCCTGAAACACAGTAAGCAGTTTGGATGCAATGATATCCTATTTTAAACAGCTAAACTAATACAGTACAAGCATGTTATGTAACCCCCTAATTGGTGCTAAGGTGCCTAACCTCTTGGTGGAGGGGCTGAAGGCGGAGCAGGTCTCCCCGTCCCAGGCACAGTAAGGGTCTCTGGCCAGGCAGCAGTCTGAACAGGCCTTCCCATAGACGCCACACCTGTGCAGGGACACCTGGGTAAGCCCCATCTCTGACGACACATACAGCTGTTGCTGTGTGTCAGAAGGGGAGAGGAAGTGCTATCAGATGCATAACAACAACAACAACAACAACAACAACAACAACAGCAGTAATCATAGATGAGCAAATGATAATTGATGAAGCCTACCCTTTTTGATGAAATCTTCATAGTCTTAATAGGAGCTGGAGTCTGCAAGAAGGAAGAGCACATAAAGGGTCAGGAGAAGATAATATTGCGGAATGAAGCTTTTGGACTGCCCCATCTCCCTTCAGGTATTCATTCAAACTAGACAGTGATTAACATGAAATAGTAAAATGATTGTCATTACCCTGAACACCTCCACTTCCTCTAACGTGAGCTCTTCTGTTGTGCTAGTGTCTTTAGGAAGTACTATCACCTTTTGGACTGTTCCACAATCTACAAAAAGAGGGGAGAGCGGTTCATAGTGTACATAGTACCTCAGATAGCCTAAATAACCTAGAAGATACAGAGCTAAAAGGAAATTATTCACTGAGAGCTAACTCCTAACTTGAGGTATGTGAGCATGATTTGATCTTGATCAAATTATGATTTATATGATCAAGGCATGATTTACCCAGTTCCAGCTGTACACACACACATCTCAATTTAGGATTTGACCCAATCTGGGGCCGTACTTATCAAGCGTCTCAGAGTAGAAATGCTTATCTAGAATCAGATCCCCCCCCCATGTCCATGTAATCTTATTCATTGGGATCTAAAAGGCAAAACTGATCCTAAATCAGCACTCCTACTCTGAGATGCTTGATACGGCCCCTGATTTAACCCCTCAGTAAAAAGGAGGAAGAACCTAGCTAGCAGCGTGACTCACCAGTGCCCAGGAAGAGCACCTCATACCTCCCGTCCACAGCATCCACCAGGTCCACCACGATGGAGGTGAAGCGGTAGTCCACCCCCGTTCGGACCACCAGGGGCCGCTTGTGTATGGGGTAGACAGAGTGGTACATGAGGGGGTGCGCCCTCACAAAGTTCACCGCCTCATCTGAAAACTCCTTGGTGGAGCGGAGGCCCGGGGTGAACGTTCCTCCTGGACACTGTAGACGAAGAAGAAAAAGAGCTCTGGTTGAACTGGATCATGTTCAGTAGGCACTAAATGGAAGAAAATAGTCTGAAACAGGGAAGGACTATCAGGACTTATCAGAACTGCATGTTTTCGTTTTCCATTGCACAACGATTTTCTATGTTTTTTTGCTACGATGTGCACAAATGAATACGACCCTCATTTAGCACATCTTGCTGTGTGTTGCATCATGGGAATTATGTGATTTTGACCACACAAAGACGCTGACAGTTTGACACATTCTTTCTATAGATTATTTGTTGATCTAGATTTAACAACATCGACGCTATAGAGGACATACAGTACTCAAAAAACACGATCTATAATTTGTTTGTTTATTAGGCTACTGTCCAGTAGTCAAATCATCTACCATTCATTTTAGAGATTCTAATCTGTTATCTCATTATCATGTTGTTACTTCCAATGGAAAGATATACAGTATTTCCTGGAAGCATTTGGGACTGAGTGTACGTACCGTTCCAGGGCGAGGGTAGGGGATCTTTCCAGTGTAGGGGGTCCACTGGTAATTGTGTCCGTGCTTGTGTGAGAAAGGGCCATTGAAGACATTGCGGATGTCGGACATAGAGTACACACACACGGCTGAGCCCTTAAACACAGAACTAAGGAAAGAGGTGGAAAGGTGGTGGAAGAGAGTCATCAAAATAAACTCTCCAATTTCAGTCACGGAAAACTACTGGGTGGGCAGGCTTTTGTTTCAGTCCTGCACTAATAAAGGACATAGAATGTATGGTTGTGGGCAACATTTTTGAATGATTCAAGTAATATATTACCCCGCAGTGGAAAAGACGGCGTACACGACAGGATTGCGCTCATCTTGTGTTGGCTGAATGAAGACATCCTCTGAAAGGAAGCATGTTGAAATAGGTGTAACAGTGCCTTTTCTATAAACAAGTGTCAAAACAAGACTAAAGGCCCTATTCAATCTAAGTGTAAACATTCAGAGTAAAGCCGCATTGTGGTTTGCCTTTATCTGCAATTGATTGAATTGCGGCCTGCTGTACAGTATGTCAATGCAGTTGCAATGAAAAGCAGTCTCACTCAGCTCGTCGAAATAGGTCTCTACACCATCACTCCCTATCACTGAGCACACCAGCCGAGCTTTCAGGAAGGTCGTCCACTTGTTGACCAGTGACCTCTGACCCCCATCATCATTCTGGAGAGGTGAAACAAAGTTAGGGATCATTTACACATTGACGTTTGCAGATCACTCAATATCATCATCATAACCATTTTGAATTCTAGGGTCCAATGGTTGTGAGTTTGGTAGGCACAAAATGGGAGAAAATCCTTTGAAACGAAGGTATTACCATAACTCTAATGTGAAGACTTACACTGTGTGTACAAAACATTAAGAACACCTGCTCTTTCCATGACAGACAGACCAGGTGAATCCAGGTGAAAGTTATGATCCCTTATTGATCCCTTACAGTGGGGGATATACGGGGGTATCTCACCAGGCATACTCGGCCCACCCTGGCCAGGACACTGGGGCTGGCCCCCCCGGCACCGTCCAGGCTCTTCTCCCGGAAGAAGAAGTAGAGCTTGTCATCATTACTCTCGGAGCTGTCAGGAATCTGCTGGATTTTAACAAACACTGGCTCTGGAGAAGAAGCGAGGGAGATTAGTCCATTTGAGAAAGGAGGGTAAGACAGAGAGAGAGAGAGGGAGCGAGACAGAGACAGAGACAGAGACAGAGAGAGAGAGAGAGAGAGAGAGAGAGAGAGAGAGAGAGAGAGAGAGAAATATGCATCAGCGATGTCCCTAGGTACAGACATCTGGTGTGGCTGACTTTTTCTCAGGGAAAAGTAGTCGTGGGTTGCTCAGTGTGTCACCTGTGAGTCAGAGGGGCAAACTCACCATTCAACCAGCGGGAGTCATATTGCTCCGTCCTGACAGCAGGTCTGTCCCCCAGTGTTCTAAAGATGGCCAGGTCCGTGCCCATGAAGTCAACGTGGACCCCTGCATACAGATTCCCATCTGCCAAAGAGGGAATGAAACAGCATAATGGATTATGACAATGGTTATAGGTACCGTAAGGGAGGACTGTGGTGGGAACTGTAATGATGAACAGATAAGAAGAGGTCTCACTGATAAGGGCTGCAGCGTTCTCCTGTCGAGGGTCATAGGAGCATTTCCCTTTCCCTGAGTCCCCGTTGCCAGGGACCAGCCTGAACAGGTACTCCTGCACAGAGAGGACAATACATGGAGGTAGGTATGTTTGTGTGTGTGTGTGTGTGTGTCTGTGTGTGTCCGTACCTCTGCTCTCCATCCTCTGTTGATGAAGGTGCAGATAGGCTTATAGGCCCCTGTGCCACAGGTGTACAGGTGTGTGCGATTCCAGGGTTCGATCAGACGCACAAAGTTTGCACACTCCCCCTGATTAGTACAGAGAGAGAACAGAGTTACAATACACTGTACATACTTTACATAAATACAACAACAACAACAACAGTATTTGTGTAGCACTTTTCATACATCAAAGCTAATAGTCAAGAGGTAAAGGGTACTCACCTGCCCACCCTTTCCAGTCATTCTACACTCTCCTTTCCTCTGGGTAGTGGCCGGCCAGTGAATCTGAAGGAAGAAGAGTACAAAATGCAACATTTCAGATCCGGTGCCTTGTGTGATTTTCTACATAGAAACATAACATATTCTAAGCCTTATAATAATATATCATAAAGGCTCACACATGCTTATAATAGATAATAAAGCGTTATACCTGGGGACATAAAGTGTTACTATTATTTGCACTCATAGGCCTACAAATGGCTACAAAATTAAATAAAACATTAGAATGGATCCTGGCAACATGAATACAGGACGGCCATCTTGGTCAAGAAAATCTAATCAGGTATTATATTTATCTCATAGGAGTCATTATAGTGTTTGCTCTTACTATGAGGGGCTCCTTGTTGATGTTGTGCATGTCCAGGGCCACCAGGTACTCCCGGCTGCCCAGGTAGAGACGGCCCTGGTCCTGGTCCATGTGCAGGATGCGGTAGTCACTGGTGTTGAAGGAGAAGGAGAAGGGCCGTGCTGTCCGCGTCTCCATCAGCTCTGGACCAGCACACACACAGAGGCAGACAGACAGACAGACACATAGACAGACAGAGAGAGATACAGAGCGAGACAGACAGAGAGGCATGCAGAGAGACAGACAGATAGCCAGACATGCATATAGACAGACAGACACAGACCGACAGAGACATGCAGACAGACCGACAGACAGAGAGACATGCAGAGAGAGAGAGATACAGAGAGAGACAGACAGAGACAGAAAGAGACAGACAGATAGACAGAGACAGACAGACAGATAGATAGGCGGACAGACAGACATCATTCATTTTGATCAGAACACATTTGGGGACATGAAATACCTTGGACTGTTAATGCACTGTGACACAGTAAACAGCAGAGGGAGCCAAACACCTCTCTCTTTGTAAGTGTGAGGTGAGCCAAGGCCCTGAAGCACGTGGAGAAATGAAAGATGGGTTCAGCTGTCTGTGTGTGTGTGTGCGCGCCTGTGTTTTTCGTGTGTGTCTATCAAATCTCTTATTGTCTCTATTAGTTTGGGTTCTAGCTCAGAGTTACTGGTCCGCCACAATGGGGATAGATACCACTCCACAATCCAAAGTAATGTGTTTTATGGTCAACCGTCTAATATAACACAGGATAATGGCACTTCTCTATTGGACGGACAATTTCAATCCTCATATTCATGTGACCTGCAGGATGGGGGTGCAGGGAGAGCAGCTCGTTGACTTTAGACATAAATTCTGGTTATGAGGGCGTGAAGATAATGGCGCCCTCCAACTATACGAGAGAGGGCGTTAGTTTGGCAATGGAGGATTGGTGAGAGCATTTATAAATGACTCACGTTAGCCTCATACCAGACACACTTTGATCTCACCAGGTAATACTGCCCTTCCAACTGGTAACCTGTCTGGGCTCGGTCCGAAACTTTAAATACATAAAAATAGCTTGAGCCGTAGTGGTGTGAAGGTCACAGTCGTACACTGGCCAAGGTTCTGGGAACAGGCTTTAGACGATGCTCAATGGAGAGAATCTCTTTTTATCTGAAAGGTATTCACTGTAAACCTACATGGAAGCAGAACCTTCATTTAGCTAACACTAAGTGCCACAAAAAGATGATTCATTTGTGCTTGGAAAACATTTTTTTTTTTTTCGAGTCAAGAAAGAAACATCCTAGTTGTACTAAAACCCAATTAAATATAATGTAACCCTTTCAAAAGAAATTGATATTAGTTAACTTCAGACATGTGAGGTCTATGACGATGCATCTTTTGTAGTAGAGATGCATATCTTTATTGCAGATATGTCTTCATGAATGACCATACACTTGCGAGAGAGTGTATGTATACCCTTAGTGTGTGTGTGTGTGTGTGTGTGTGTGCGTAATCTATGTTTGTGTGGACATCAGAGAAGAGAGGGCAGCAGAGGGGCATGTGAATGTGTTTGGTGCTGTTATCTGGCCCTCTAACTAGGTGGTGAAGTGTGGCCGTCTGTCTGTCTCTCGCAGCTGTGTGACTGATCTGCAAACAATCCGTAGAATTCCATCCGTCACCGCTCCACGGAGCACATGGGATTCCGGCCGCTCGGTGTGCTTAGGGAGGAGGGGGGAGGGCAGCGGGCTTCTATTCTCAGGGCTCCTCTCATCCCATTCCAAGTGGGTTTATCCCGAAAATCCACTATCTTTGGGCAAGGGTGGGACAGAGGGCTGACTGTTTGAAAAAGGACACACCTGCTGGCCATGAAGGTCAGGACTAATGGACCCTCTGAGGCTGTTTCCACACTGTGTGGGGAACAGAAGGCTAGGCTCAAAACAGGCATGTTGAGATGTACTTACTTACAATATGCTGGGTATGCCTACACTACCTTAAACTATATCATACAACTGCATCACCTAAGAGTAGTATCATGCAAAGGTCATGCAGAGTTGACGACTTAAATACAATTAACTGAGCGCCATTTAGTCTGAGACATAAAATTAGTTTCCGCTGGTTTGAGGTAAGAGGATAGGGGAGAACAGTTGCTTATAAAATATTTCACTTTCCATAGCAATGTACCATTTGTAAGCAGCGACAATCTCACAATCTAACAATTCGGCTCCATCATTAAAATGAGAATCCAACGTTGTCTCTCTCTTGGAAGATGGCACCGATGGACATGGCCACTTTGTTTCAGGCTCCTAAGAGCATTTGTGTATATTGTTGTGTATTGTTAGATATTACTGCACTGTTGGAGCTAGGAACACAAGCATTTGGCTACACCCGCAATAACATCTGCTAAATATGTGTATGCGACCAATAACATTTGATTTGATTTGATTTGTCTCAGTCACATTGATGCCGTATGAACTACAGTAGCCTACCTTTCCAAACCAGATCATTCTGGATCACACTTCTCGTAGTGACCTTTAACCGTTCCACCTCCCAACCTCCATCTGTTAGCGGTCAAATGATCTTCTTCCCATGGCAAACCAACAATAAGGTGTGAAGTATGTGTGGTGGGCAGCTTCACAGGCAGAGGCCATTGTGTTGAGTGGTGCTGAAGCGTGTGTCCTCCACCTTAGGTCCTCTTTGCCACGGCGAAGCAACCACACTGACTCTTATATTAGCACAGAGTTTTAATACTCATCACTGCATTCTGTATCGAAAGGTTGGCTGGTCCTCATTAAAGTCCCGTAGATAATTTCACTGTTCCCTTTTGGTTTACAAAACTCTACTACACAAGCATTCCGACTTAACTAACTTAATTGTTGAAGTATAAAAACATGAATTACCAAACCTGTTCAAAGGGTTGGTTAACTCTTGAGGTTCCTCGGGTCTCCACCAAATTAAGTAAATCCACTTTTAGTTTTAATGTACCACACTCTTGGAAAAATTTACAAAAGTCATTACATTTTCTATGTTCTGGTGCCGCTTGGGCAATTTAAAGTGTTGATTGAAGACCTAGTAGCTGTGGAATGTAACAATTTTTTGTACATTTTGTGTCGTGCTGTATTTTTATTTCACATTGTATTGATTGCTGTGATCAGGGTACCCTTGAGAATGAGACCCTGGTCTCAATGGATTTTCCCAGAATAAATAAAGAATAAATACATTTAAATAAAAATGTAATGAATGCCATCGCCCGTTAGCAGAGCTACCTAGTACTGTAACTAGCAAAATATCCGTAGTTGTTGTGACTTCAAAACAGAAACACGCCTGTGCTTTAGGGACACAAGAGGTCATGCTGAGTGTAGTGCAAAAATGTAACAATTACTAAAATAAATAATAGAACAAATAACTTAATATTTTAACCAACAGCTTTACATTATGTGAGAATAATAATAACTGTATACAGATGTAGGATCTTAATTTGAGCCAGTTTCCTACAGCAGGAAAACAATCCTGCAGCAACAGGAAATGTGAATTATTATGTGGATTATAATTAATGGACATTTTTCAAGGGGTTGATACATTTTTCATAAGGGAAAATCAAGTCTGTAATTTCAAAGTGGAAATTACAAACGTCATAAGCCTTTTTAAACCTCAAATACACAACAAGTTTGAAATGTCCTGCACTGCAGGAAAGTTATCCTGGGGGTGATCAAATTAAGATCCTGCAGCTGTAGGCCTACTGTAGGCCGTACTGTAGGACGTAACAAATATGATACATCTGAGGTTAACCATGACGAGGTGCTCGACCTACTGCTGAGTCTTTTCCCTCTCTCTTATTCACACTCATATGAAAACAAGCACTGCCAAAACAATGTGTGTACAAACCCAGTCCAACCAGGCGTGTTACTGAAGTAAAGCATAGCAGGTGACATCATCAGAATGGTGAAGAGAGTGTAGACTTGATTAGAAGCACTGGGTGTTTGGGGTATAGTAGTTGTATTTCAGGCCTTGTACTGAATCAACACCAAAGAATGTATGTGTCCCCAGTGTTCCTACTTCCCAATGTTGTAATGGATCTATTTTATATCATAGTACAAGACGTATGTATACAGTAACATCAGAGTGGTAATTATGTTAGAGGTAGTGTGGGCAAGTCAGTCATCAAACAGTATGGTAAGAGTTCTGGGCGAGTCAGTCATCAAACAGTATGGTAAGAGTTCTGGGCGAGTCAGTCATCAAACAGTATGGTAAGAGTTCTGGGCGAGTCAGTCATCAAACAGTATGGTAAGAGTTCTGGGCGAGTCAGTCATCAAACAGTATGGTAAGAGTTCTGGGCGAGTCAGTCATCAAACAGTATGGTAAGAGTTCTGGGCGAGTCAGTCATCAAACAGTATGGTAAGAGTTCTGGGCGAGTCAGTCATCAAACAGTATGGTAAGAGTTCTGGGCGAGTCAGTCATCAAACAGTATGGTAAGAGTTCTGGGCGAGTCAGTTATCAGTCAAGTTCAACCACTAAGAGTTGTCCTATATAATTATCATTCTGTTAATACAAATTTTTTTTTCAATCGCTTTGGTGCAATTTTCACAAGTATGTGGTACATTTTTACAACTCTTCGTACAAAAGTCAAAACAGATCATCCAAAAAGCAGTTGTTTCAAAACTCTAAGTACACTTTCAATTGATGAAGTACAACACACAAAATCATACAGTCACTTTTTCACCAAACTTAATCAGTGTTTAATCTAGAAATACATGTTTCACATTGCAGTACATGTTTTACATTACTTTTGATATGATTCTCTTCTCATTTGTTAATATACTTTTTACTATTACTTAATCCGACTGCTCTTGATTGATAATCACTGTCACACCCTGGCTCGGGGACTCTATATGTTGAGCCAGGGTGTGTGCATTCTATGTGTTCGTTTTCTATGTTGGGTATTCTAGTTGTTCTGTTTCTATGTTTGCCTGTATGACTCCCAATCAGAGGCAACGAGTGTCAGCTGTCGGCTGGTTGTCTCTGATTGGGAGCCATATTTAATCTGTATGTTTTCCTTTGGGTGTTGTGGGTTTTTGTTCCGTTT